TTGCGTCTGTAAGATTTGCATTTGTAAAATCTACAGTTGTATTATCCCAAACAGTTCCAGTAAAATCACTGCGAATCAATGATGCTCCAATGAAGTTAATTGAAGAAAGTTTCATATTACAGAATTTAGCTTCGTTTAATGAAGCAAATTTAAATGATGTTCGTATTAGTACACGTTTAAAAAATACAACTTTATTCATTGTTGTATGTGAAAAGTTCGAATAATCAATATAACAATCAATAAATGAAGAATTTGATAAATAAGCATCATATAATTTTAGTCGTGTAAATGAACATTTATTATCATCAGTTCCATCTAATTGAATACCATTAAAATCAGCATCATTTAATTTTACTAAAGATGAATTTAAATATTGCGGATTTTGACATATTAATTCACTTTCACAAAGAAATAAAAGTATAGATTTTTTTCGTTCGGCATCCAGTTGTCGAAGAGTAGTTAATGTTTTTATACGAATTTGTGCAAAAATTTTTGATTGATTGTCTAACATTAATAAATTTGATATATCATCAAGATATTTAACAATTATTGTTTCTTTTTGTAAATTATCTGCATGACGTTCGGATTGTTCTCGAAATAAATTTGATTCTTGTTTATCTTGTTGACGTTGTTGAACAGATATTTTATGTTGAATAACTGTTGTAACTATTGTAAAAATACCGATCATCAATGGAATTAAAGCAGCTAGAATTAATTTAAAACAGATACGATGATTTGATTCGATGTTTGTTTTTATTGTATTACAACTAGTTCTTATTATAGGAACAATTGTAGAAGAACGACTTCGAAACATTATAAATTACTTTCTGATCGACTTTAATTATTTTTGTTTTATATTGAATAGGTGAATATATCCGGAGAAATATATTTATTAAAAAAGAATGTGATTGAGAATCAAATGTCTGTAATTGAGAAATGTTCAAAAAAAATTCGACGAACATCACGTAATTCTTAAAAGAAAGTTGATGATGAACCTTGGAATAGTCACTGTTATTTAGAAAAAAATAGGGCAGTTTTTTTGTAGTTGTAAATTAATTATATTTACAAAAATATTATTAACGCGCTATATTAGAATGAAGATTGTAGAACTATCGTGTCTATATGAACTTAGTATTATTTGATTTCATCAGATAAAATTTCTCCTATAAAATATTTTTTTTGATGAAATATCGAACCATTGCTGGTTTGTTAGTACTAATACCACTGATCGATACAAATCTGTTAGCATATGTTGAGTATTCATAGCTTGAAATGGTCGTTGCCATCTGTGAATATTAATATTTACAAAGGTGGTAAACATTATCATAAATTGATTCCTCTCATTATTTCTAATTTTCATTGGTTAATGAAATTAATAATCGATTAAAAGTGTTTAATTTTTTCTTCTTTTCCTTTTAATAAATCAAGCTACAAAAGAGTTGTTTGACTTGAGATAATCAAAAATGTATTCTGTGTACATAGACGTAGATGTGACTTCAGAAAAGATAAACTTACATCCGCTGTAGTTTCAGTTATAAGTTTACTTGTCTCTGAGCGTGTTAATCTTTTGTTTAGTCCTTATATGAGTATAAATATTGGAGTAGACAAGAATTTCAAAGAAAATGCCTTTAAACGATACAATTTATTAAGGGTGTGGGGTGGGTATGAATACTCTTTGTTTATCTTCATCGACTCGCACCCTTAAGATATGAATATTTCTCTACAGCATTTGTAGATTGTAGTCCAATTAGTAAATCAACTCTTGTAGATTTGTAATACACAAGAAATTATCGATCATCTTGAAAATTTAATTTATTGTGTCTTTAATTCAACTATGCGAGTTAACATGAAGAAAAAAACAAGAGAAGTAATGAAATAATTGTTAATTTATGAAAATAAGTATTCGTTGACAGTACTGTTTATTTCTATAAGTAGAGCTTTTTGAGCAAAGTAGGATGTTCTCTGCATCTAAAACAAAATAAAACCAAATAGAGAAGAAAAAAAATGCTTTTATATACCCTTTGATAAGTTGTTCCTTGTTTATTTTTGAGTCATCACTGAGACCTAAAATTGCAAATACTTCTGAAGCTGTTTTCTTTGCATAATCATGGTCAGCATCTTTTACAACGCCCAAAGCTACCTAAAATAATCAATTATACTTTCCTTGAAGGATAAATTAAGATTAACTTACGGCACCATCGAAAATTGCAGTTATTTCCTCATGATCTAAATATCCATCACCAGAAAAATCAAACCTAATGAACAAAAAAAAATGAGTAATTTATCATTAGTAAATTACAATATTCAATCGAAATAACCCTCGAAAGAGAATATCAACGTTTGATTCGATGGTATTTGGTCGTAGGAAGTGCATTGCCAAAAGAAATTCATCGAATTCGATTGTTCCATTCTTATTTTTATCAAATGTAGCAAATGCTTTTCTGAATATGTTGAAAGAAAATGTTAAACCATTTGAAATGATTGAATGGATATATGAACATACTCGCAAGCCACTTCATCAGTCATATCGCAATCAAAATCAAGCAACTTATACATATGAATGAATTGTTCCTTGGTCATTTTACCTGTTGGCTGTAATTTTAAAAATCCCTAATGTAAATCCAAATAAGAATAGATGATCGTAGTTTATCACAAATAAAATTTCTTTTTACTTTGTGTTCTTCTCTGATTTCTATATTAGAATAAATAATTCTATATAAACATAAAATGAATTCTTTTTTCTACTTACCATCTGCACTAAGTTTTGAAATCTTTTGTATTTCAACGATTTCTAAAAATATGATCAATCAATCAGTAAAATAATTCAATAGATAGACAAACCTTCATCAGTTAGTGATTTAGATTTGCCAAATTTAGTGACTATTCGGTTGCCCATGATTAATACGTTAGAAAAGAATAGACAACCTTATGTATATATATGATTAAAGTAGATAAAGAAAAATATCGAATAGAGTTGTGTATATAACCATTAGAGAATGAAAAAAAATAATGCAGTAACTATCAAATATCCACATGTCGCATCTATACATGCATGTTCGAAATGTCTTTGTAATATCGAGTTTTTTTTCTTGTTCTGTTCTGTTTGAAAGAAAGGAGGATCAGACGTCGTCGACAAGTTACTTAGGAGGGGAAAGGTACAAGCAATTGTTTTCGATAACTGTGCCGTTAAAAAAAAGACGTTGATTCAACCGTTCGTGAATAAAATATCTCACTATTAATTTTTTATCGTTCATTTTATTTTGCAATACTGTTATAATTATATAAATATGTTTTTTTATTCTGTACGATCTATAACTATAAAAAAATATAAAAAGAGAAAAAGTATCCAGCAATTGTATTTGAAATTCACTTGATTGAGAAGCTCAATAAATTCTTGTATCATTCTATCAGGAATATTTATTAACGATTGATGATAGAGCGTTTCATATTGGATATTTTATTTATGTTTCAAGAAAACAGAAACTTTGAAATATTCAAATTTTATCTTTCAAGTATCTATTCACACGGCGTTGGCATGCCAGCATTCACCGATGTTGAAGATATGATGAAAGAACAATTTAAATGATTAGTTTCATAATGTTTGTTTTACAAAAACAAAAAATATTTTCTGTGTTGGAGATGGAATCGTGTTTTTCTTGGCACTATATATTATTATATTATAAAAACGTCAAAAATAAAGAATAAATAATAGTTTGTAGAAAGTAAAGAAATAGACATTTTTGACTAAGAAAAAATATTTTTTTTTCCTTTGAAAAAGAGAAAATGGACATTTTACTTATTCTCTAATTGTAATGTATTTGCTGTTCTTTAATATAGGAAAGTTATGAGCAGTGTAGACTGTTGACTTGCACAATACATTCTTATATATATTAAACGAAAAAAAAAAATTAATAAAAAAATGTTTGTTTCTATGGCATCGTTGTTTTGTGGAAGAAACGTCGTCAAACCATTCGGTCATTTTCTTCAACTAAAATATTTTTTTTTTGTTTCAATCATTTCAACATCACTGTGAGTATTAAGATGTATATAAAGAGAAAAAAGAAAATTGCATCGTCTCCTTTATAGTCGAAAAGAAAGGGAATATAACTATTTCAGAAGACTCATACTCCGTAATATTTATTCATAAATTCATATGTATATACGCATATCATATATTTAGTAATCTACAACAGAAGCTAGAACATTATACTAACAATGGCCTCCCGACAATTGTGCTGCGCTTTTTACGTATTTCTATATATGATTAACTTACCGGATGTTCAATCAACAGCATCTAATTCATTATCCGATTGTCAAGCGGCGGCTTCATCATTTCTAACAACAATTAATTATACAGCCAGCAATATTACAGGAACTACTGGAATTAATACTACGTGTTTAGCCAGCGGTATTGTATGTCCTGGTCAAACTATTAATGGTGTTTGTGTGTGGCAACGGAAATTAAGTGCTGTTTGTCGAAATGCCAGTGGTGTTATTAAAATTCGTATTCAAACAAATGGTTTACCTCCACGTTGTGCTAATGTACCTTCGGGCAGTTTTGTCGAATTAAATGTTGATTTTGAAGTAAATTTTAATCCTGATGTCAGCATTAATTCGTTAAATTCAAATTTGAGCACTATGGCTTTACTTTCACAAACACTCTGTACACTGACTAGTGCAGTAACAGTTCCATCGGCTTCCGGCTTTGTCAATTATGGGAAAACACCTCTAGACACTGCAACAGGAGTATCAGTAGACGGTGTTATGATTTTTACTCCTGATTCAGCGAATAATATCGATCCATTTTTTCCACCAGGAGGTGGTCAAACCTCTGAATCAGTAGATACCTGTCTTGCTCATTGTCAAATAACCGGTATATATCATTATCATATTGCAAGTGGTTGTCAAGTTAATCCTCCAACAGGAAATATTTCATCATGTGCTGGTACTAGTTCTTGTATTTCAAATGTTGCTACCTATCCTATATCGTCATTTTCAAATTATCAAACAAAAACAGTACTTGGTGTTGCCAAGGATGGACATGTTATTTATGGTCCTTATTTATCTTCAGGTACTCGAGTAATAACAGGTTTTGATGTTTGTAATGGAATGTTTTATGATTCTATTGGTAATTATGCTTATTTTGCAACATCAACATATCCATATCTTGTTGGATGTTTTGGACCAGGAAATTATCCATCATTCGCACCCAATTGTACTACTAATGGAGTATCATCCTATAATATGTCATCTTATGCGATCTCATTCTTGAGCAATTCGGCTACAAGTTCAACAAACACAACAACAACAACAACTACTACAACATCATCAACAACAACCACTACTACTACTACAACAAAGACTACTACTGCAACATCAATAACAACTACTACAACATCATCAACAACGAGAATGCATCCTATTCCGTGATGTTGAACATTGGAGGAATCAGTTCCGCACCGGAATCGATTCCGTCCAATTCCGGGAACTCGATCGACACACAACATAAGACACCCAGTCAAGATTGATCGAATTCGACCGATTCCGGAATTGCACGGAATTCCTACCGATTCCGGAATTGCGGGCATTGGTTCCGATTCCGGAATTCCGTACCGGAATCACACCATCTACCTCACCCACATTTGTTGTGTTGTGTTGATAAGTTATCCCGTTTGGATACAATCTAATTCCGTTACGGAATTCCGGGAATTGCATCAAGACGGAATTCAGTGGAATTGGACGGAATTCCTACCGATTCCCACCAATTCCGGAATTGCGTGAACTACTTCTAATAACGGAATTACACGGAATTCCTACCAATTGCCGCCAATTCCCACCGATTCCGGAATTGCGGGAATTGGTTCTGATTCCGGAATTCCGCACCGGAATCACACCATCCACCTCACCCACATTTATTGTGTTGTACTGATAAGTTATCACACCATCCACCTCACCCACATTTGTTGTATTGTGCTGATAAGTTATCCCGTTTGAATACGATCCAATTCCGTTGCGGAATTCCGGGAATTGCATCAAGACGGAATTCAGTGGAATGGGACGGAATTCCTGGGAATTCCTACCGATTCCGGAATTGCGTGGACTACTTCTAATTACGGGATTACATGGAATTCCTACCGATTCCGGAATTATACGGAATTCCTACCAGTTCCGGAATTATACGGAATTCCTACCGATTCCGGAACTATACGGAATTCCTACCAATTCCGGAATTGGGCGGAACTCGATCAATTTTTGAGTGGGTATCGGATATTATGTGTCGATCGAGTTCCCGGAATTGAACGGAATCGATTCCGGAGCGGAACTGGTTCCTGAAATGTTCAGCATTGCGGAATAGGATGACTGCTCCAACATCAACAACAACAACCACCACAACAAAGACTACTACAACAACAACAACAACTACTACTACTACAACATCATCAACAACAACCACTACTACTACAACAACAACTACTACAACAACAACAACAACAAAGACTACTACAACAACAACAACAACAGTGTCTTCATCGAGTTCATCATTTGTGACAACCTATAGTACGGTTTCAACAGGTGTTCGAATGAGTCTTGATACTGGTCTTATTCTTTTATTTATTAGCGCCTTTATATTCTTATATTGAACAATTATTTTAACTCTAATACCTGCTTTATTCACCATATTTTCGCATTTATTTTAACTATAATACCTGCTTTATTCACTACATTTTCGCATTTATTTTAACGCTTAATAATTTTTCATGCAGCAAAACAAACTTTTAAAACTAAATAAAATATAATCATAATATATTTGAGTGAAAGAAATATCATTATCATATAGCAAAAGGATTCATACTCAGATTTTTAAATAGAAACTGAATTGATATATGATTTCTATTATGTATGAGCAATATTAAATGTACTGAACGTTTCCTGAATCATTTCAAATGGCATAGTTTACGAAAACTGTAAAAAATGTTTGAAATCTATATGATGATTATATGTATTTAATTCAATTATTAATAATTGATCAGCAAATGATGAATCAAAGTAATAATATTGTATTTAGATTGAATATTGTATGATTCAAAAATAGTTGAGTGTGAGTGAAATGTGATAAAGAAGAGACATCCTCATCCACATCCTATCAAAAACAATATGATACATCAGCCATCGAAAATTGATATAATCATCAGTGTTAAAGATGTCTGACAGATCACACAATCATAATATTTTCCAGATATTTATGTTTCTTAACATTCAAAAGATCTATAGAAAATAAGACACAAAAAAAAGAAAAGCAAAACTAGTTTGTATATGAGTAAATTGCATTGGCGTCGTACCATACTGTTCCTTGATACTTTTCACAATATGTAAGATTTCTTTTTCTTTTTTGGTACTAAAATTTCCTAAACTCGAAATAATATTTTTATTTTTAGTATTGAAAAAAATTTGAATGATTGAGTTTGAAAAATAATTCCACTGACATTATCGAAAGCGTATGAATATAGATAAAACGCACTGAAAATAACTGTATCATTAATCATCATCATCAAGAAATTTAGTCTGTTGTTGTTGTCGAAGCTCTGATAGATCATCTTCTGTTCGTATCGCTTCGTGACCGATTTTAGCAGACTTGTTACGTTTAGTATTGGAAAACTGCCAATAGTTCTTAATGATCGAAGCATAACATTGATAGATCCACACTCCAATAATACCTCCGAGAATGGGACCAACAATTGGTATCCAAAAATAATAATTATGCGCACAAAATACATCATTCCAACCGTAAACAAATGCACTGAAAAGTCGTGGACCTAAATCACGAGCCTAAAGTTTAGAAGAAAAAGAAAGAATTAAATAAACTGGGGATCAATTTGTACAATCAACATACAGGATTAAGTGCAGCTGCTGCATTGATTGAAAATGCACAATTAATTCCCATAACGATCAAAGCAAGTGCAAAAGGTTTATTTACTTCTGAAATCATACGATTGAAGTCCTAGAAAGAATTATTAATCAATTGATTATCTATTTAAATTTTCTGTATTACCTGTTCAACTGCCATAATGAAGATCAACAGAAGACCAGTACTAACAATTTGATCTATAAACGCATTCCAGTGTGGTACATTTTTGCCAGGCATTGTAAAAAAAATATCACCTGTGCCATAAAGACCTGTTATTTGACGTGTACCGCCGTCAAATTCATTGAATTGGCTCCAGTAAACAAGATAAACTAAAGCAGCACCTAAAAATGCACCAACTATTTGACCGATAACATAGAAAACACACTGCAATGGTTTGAGTTTGCGAACAGTCATTAGTGATATGCTTACAGCAGGATTGATGTGTGCACCTAGAATCAGAAATAAGATAATCTTCAAATACTTAACGGTAAGTTCTCTTGTTTGATTTCTAAGAATCGATATAGAACTGCTACGGTTCTACTGAAAATGATCAATACTGAATGTTGATAAATGCAATGCTTCAGTTTCTACTATACCTGTGATAGATCCAACAGCCATCAATGCTAGAATATAGAAAATAGATTAATAAATACACTTGTATATATTCAAAAACATAAAGACGACAATTTTCGTTTCTTTTAATTATCGTAATATATTTAAATATAAAAACGATCTAGTTGATTTTTGTGAGAATTGTGCTAGATTATTCGTTATAGTATGAATGACAACTTTGACAGAATATTGAATATCATATGAAAATTGATTGATAAGTTAAATAGAAGTAGCTTTAACTTTTATTGAAATCCTGAAAGAAGAGTATCAATATAGTGCATACGTAAAGAGAATAGGATAGTAGGAAGCGCAAACTGTGAATTTTTTATGAACGATGTTCTATACTTCTCATTTTAAACAGTTTGCTCGTGGGTACAAAAGATTTTTATTAAGATCAAAAACATTAGAATACGACACTGGATTGGTTGAAACTTAGCATCTCTTATCGAGCTTTTCAAACAAGCGTCATAAAACAATAAAAATATAAATACGTATCTACAATTATTGGTAGATTCTTAACCAATAGATGTTTTATTATATCATCTTTAAAAACGTCTTACTCTGAATGATGCTTCTACTTTTGTAACTACTTCTGATCTGATCAAATAGCTATGATAAAAATACCTGTATAAACACCGACACCAATTGCGAGATAAATTGAAAGTGTCGAATGCGAAGTAAATCGAGCAAATTTGTAATTGGCAATGGCACCTTCGTTGAGAAGTATTAAAATAAATGTTCCAAAACATTCGGATAGTAATTCAACGACATATTGTTGTAGTTCTTTCTTCGTCACCATATTTGATTTCTAATATTACGAATAATATCAATGCAGTACTATCGATTAAAGTACCATGTGCGTATGCACACTACCGTCGTTCTTTTCTTCTGTTCTCCTCAATACAACCTTCACCGATGTGCTATCAAATCTGATATACCAAAAAACGTCCTTTTAGTAAGAATAAAGCACACTCTCTATCACACTACGCATGTACTATATGAATGTAGGAAGAACAGTAAGCAATACTGATAACACCCGTCAAGTATATACTATTATAAAGAAATCAATTTATTTTGTAGGAAGATGTAATTGATAATAAAAAAAACCACAAATTATTAAATTTATTGAAATAAGGTAGACGAAACAATATGTTCAAACTAAATTACATAAAAAAAGGTATGTAATAGTCGATATAGATTGAATATCAACAATACAAAATGAAGAATATTATGAATAGAACATATGAAAGGGTCACCATCTGTCTAATAACATTAGTTGAACAGGAAATTATAGTAGATGTAAAAAGAGTATCATACTTGGAACGAATTATTTTCTTCCTCATACGTACAGTCCTATCCTCAATTACAATAAATCAAGTAGCAAAATCTGTTTCATATTGTGCCCATTGATATTTTATACTAATTGCTTCTCGATTACCAAATGCTGTTTCAATTCATTAAAATACATTCGATGCTTTCTTTAGAAGGGTGTGGGTGTGGGTGTAGGTATGAATACTGTACTCACCCAACATCCACATCTACACCCTTAAGACTAATTTTTATGCGCTAATATCGTTTTATTTGAATAGTCTAATATATTTAATTTATTTGTATCAAAAAGTTAATTATTTAAAATATTTCATAATTATATATATGAATCATTATTTTATTTAATACACTCACAACCACCCACACTCTATCTGTTTGTTAATTGTTTTAATTGTCAGATCGTGTTGCACAATTTTAGTTTGCAAGGAATTACGCTAACAGCTTTTTTAGATTGACTTCCTTTTCATTGTTTTTTACATTTTTTATGTGTTCTATAATAGAAATTCATATAAACTAAACGTTAATTTTTTTCTTTGTCAATATTATAATTGGTACAATTTTATTTGGTCGTCTATTGATTAATTTTCTTAATGATATTTTAAGTGGATCAGTAAATTGAAATAAAGTAATTATGACTAAAAGAAATGACGAACTACCAAAAACATACGCAATACGAAAATGATATTTTGGTAAACTATTAAAAAATGACATAATTATAAATATTGCATAAACAAAACCAACTCCAATTAGAATTGTTACTAATATGACTATATTACGAATCATTTTTAATTCTCGTCGAGCACGAGCTAAAACATTAATAGATGTTACATTTTTACTCATTTCTCGTACATATTGAAGTAATTTATAATAAATAAATATAATCATTGTAACAGGAATTCCATAAACAGAAGATGATATATAAATAACTGAAAATGAAAATCGAAGAGGTAATTGACACACTTGATTATCATGATTGTAGACAATTTCATTAGTAAATAAAAATATAATAGGACATAGAAAACCTAAAATCCATGTTTTAAAAACAAATAATATTTGAATGTGTTGTTTTTGCCAAAATAAAACACGTGGATAAATAACAAGAATATATTGATAAAGAGCTTGTAATACAAAAGAATAATTAAATACAGCACATGTAGCATAACTAATATAAGCTCGAAATATACAATATGAATCTGGATAATAAATCCGTTCAAGATCATTTTTAAGCATAATTATGAATGAGCTAAACATTGTACATGCAAATACAAATGCAGTTAAACATGAATTAGCAACTAACATCATAGATATTGTATGACATGTTTTATCAAATAAAATAAGACATAAAAAGAATATGGGAAGTCCAATGGTTATAGTAGTAAATGTAATGATTAGAATATCAATTGGAATAAACCATGATTCGATATTTATGATAGACGAATTCATTTTTTTTCCACAAACAAATAAGTATCTCTCTATAGTTTATCTCGTAAATAAGACATGTTCACAATGTTTCTAAAATGGTAATTATTATTATTAAAGTTTCCATAGACACTTTTTTTTCTGGCTAGTTGATAATATATTATTATTCTGCTTGATTATGAAATAATGAGCTTTCTAGTTTATAATTAGAAGATATTATCACCAAAAGAAAGAAAAAAATGACTACCTTAGAGTTCGTACATCAGTATTAATTATAACATCACGGAAGCAATTTGAAGAAAAATATTTTTCCAATTAAAATATAAATCATTTTGGAATGGTAGCGCAGTTAATATCGAAATAAGACATGTATCTATATAAAAATCAAACAAACTTGTAGTTTTCAATTATCAATAGTCTTTATTTACTGAATTTCGAATTCTAAAAGAATTATTTCCTAGACTAAGGATAGGATCCAGACACGGAAATTAATCCATTTACTTGTATGGCAATATGGCATATTTTCGATAATATAATTTTTATTCGCTAATATTGTTTTATTTGAATAAATTAAAAAAATGACGCACTGTCAATTTTACTTTTAGTGTGGAGGAAGATGAAAAGAATATTAAAAACAAAACGCTCGTGTACACAGAATATTATAATGCTTTGATGGAAAAATATTAATTTATTTCTAGATAGCATGTCATTCATCATCATTAATAGAATTTTTTTTACGCATGTATGAAACGAATGACGATGTATCCAAACATCTCGTATCGTAAATCAGAAAGCAAAGTCCAGGATTAGAAGCTTCTATGCAATTGATCAAAAATATTCTTGTGATTAAAAATGAACATGTTTGATATTAACTGAATTCTTTATTAAGATCTTATTTTATTTATTTGAGTTAAATATGTTTTATCTTTATAAATAGATTTCACACATTCTAAAAAATGTCATATTAGTTAATAAAATCTTCTTTTTATTCTGAAGAACATTGACAAATAACCGAACCAGTATCACCAGTACTATAAATAAAACCATTTGTATAAACGAGACATGTTGCATTAGGACTACGAGTCCAACGTTGTGGATTTAAAAGAGCATGAGATTCATTATGTTTATGAAGAAGATGATCGAGGTGTATATCACCATTATAATGCCAATCGGTACATTTACCGCAATCTGGGCAAGCATTTCCACCACAACGTTTATTTTTCTTTAAAACTTTTTTTGATGTTGTTTTGTTTGATTTTGATGATTCATTGGATTCTAGAAAAAAAAAAGACAAGCTAATTATACTATAATTTGTTTCCTAGGTGAACAAATTCAATAAGAATTAACAGAATTTATGTATATGTTGTATAATTACCCTGTTTTGGTGGTTCTGATGGCGGTGGTGTCTCAGGGCGTTTTTCAGTTGATTTCTCATCGGATTTCTTGGTTTTTCCAGTATCCTTTGTCATTTGTTGATTATCTATAAGAGAGAAACAATATAAATTATATATATGTGTGTGTGCTTATCAAAGTTATAAGCATAAAAATTTAAATTCACTTGCTTCGTTTCTACGGACAAAAAAATGAAAAAGTCGAATCTTTGTGTGATTTCACCATTTTATTTTTTTCACTTGAAGTGTTTTTGAAAGAACAAAAGCAACTTTCTTATTATGCATGGTCTTTTTTTTTGTACACAGTTATGAGAGCATTTCAATATAAACGAACGAAACCTGAAAAATAATAATGTGTTGTGCATTTGATTGTATTCACACAGTGAGATGGCAAAAGAAAAATTTCAAACAATTTAAATGATGTTGTGAATTGATTCTGTATATGGAAGATACAATTTAGGACATAACGAATCTTTTCTCATGAAAAGAACTCGAAGAAGAATTTATTTAATTGTAGATTCTATGTTATTGAATTCTTTCGAAATTTCAAATAAAAAGCTTGTCATCACAGTTCGTTTGAAGTCGAAATATGAAACTCACTTACTAATATCAATCATAGAATTGATATAATCAAAACCCAAAGTTTTATTTGATGAAATTTCAGAATTGTCAAGGTTGGGTGTGGGTAATAAATGAGGAAAGTAGACACAGTCACAATCACACAGAGACCCACAACAACACCCACGTCTAAGGTTTCTAATTATCTCAAATTAGTTAGAACGTTTTTTATATTGTACAGTATTGACTTGATCAACCTTTCTACATCCTTGTCTTTCTGCTATCTTATTTTATTCACTTGTATTTTATTACTTTTTGGTCAATACTTGAAAATTATACTTCTATTATTAAACTTGCTTCTAAGTTGATCCTAATCTACAGCTCGTTAGATTGTTAATGTTCGTATATAAATTCAATCCAAATAATCTTGAAATCGATTCCCAGCAATCGAAAAATTTATTAAAACGATATAAAATGTATGTTCTCCATCTTTATAAACTAATCTTTGTTAAACAAATACGAATAAAAAGAACGTTAAGAATATAGGTGTGTGTATATAAAACATACTTTTTACATGTCTCACAACATTTTATTTTTCTTATCGTCATCTCATGGTTGTTCTTCTATATTTTATTATCTTCTTTTCGATTTCTAATTGCATCATTACTAATGATGTAATGCAATATGCATCTGTTCAATATTCTATACTTTATAATGAATTTATTGATTTACAAAAAGAATTTTATCCATATTATGGTTATCCATTAGAAGAACAATGGACATCAACAACTGCAATTACTGGATGGACATCTGGATTTTTTCCTGGTGTCTATTGGAATATTGTCCAATATAATTCTACACGACAAGCATTACAACGTGCAATTGATGTAACATTACCAACGGCTGCATTTGCAAATAGTACAAGTCCATATAATGCTGGTTTTATAATAATGTCTGGTTTTGGTAATGCATATCGTTTATTAAAAATAAAAGAGTATTTAGATATTGTTATAATGGGTGCACATTCACTTGCAACTCAATATTCTTCAATTGTTCGTTGTTTACGTTCAGTGGATAGTCCGCAAGGTTATTTAGTTTATATTGATAATATGATGAACTTAGAATTATTATTTGAAGTAAGTAATCAAACTAAAGATCAATATTTATATGATATAGCTTGGCAACATGCAAATAGAACTATGTATGAACATTTTCGCGATGATAATAGTACTTATCATGTTATTGAATATAATGAAACAGATGGAAATGTTATTCGAAAATATACTGTTCAAGGTTAACGAACAAAAGAAATCTTTTAAATAATGAAATTATTTTTTATGAATCTAGGTTATGCTGATTGGTCAACTTGGTCTCGAGGACAATCATGGGCAATTTTTGGATTTACTATTGCTTATCGTTATACAAAATATCAACCATTTCTTGATAAAGCAATTGGTGCAACAAATTATGTTCTATCACATCTTTTAAATCCGAATGATTTAATTCCTTTTTGGGATTATGATGCACTAAATAATTCTAAATTATCATATCAACCTAAAGATACATCAGCTGCAGCTATATTTGCTAGTGCACTTATTGAAATATCTCAATATGTATCAATACCTGACTTAAAAAATCATTATTTATCAAATGCAAAATCAATTATTAATCAATTATCTACTCCGAAATATTTAATATATGGTGATAAACAATATAAATTGTCTGCTTTACTTGCTAATGGAACAATAGGTCCTTATCCAAAAAATCCATATGATGTATCATTATCATTTGGTGATTATTATTTAACACAAGCTATCATACGTTTGATGAAACTTTAAATTATGTATAGAAACTAATAAACCATGTTTTTGTTTCATCTATATGAAAAATAAATGTTTCAATCAGAATTTGCTTATATAATTGATCTCCAGATCGTACGGCAGAGGTAGGTGTGAATGGGTGAAAACAAAACCATATCACACCCACACCCATTTTAATCAAAAGAAGTAATATTTAGTTCATGGAATCTCTTGAAAAAAAAATATAATATTGCATCTTTCTTTTTAAAAACTTGTTAAAAGATTGACGTCCAATGCGGAGCTCTGTTATCTATCAAACCAGAGAAAGTCACTGAATTCGTAACGTTCTGTTGAGAATGAGATAAGAAGCGACAATAAAATGGTTGCCTACATTCACTCACAAAAAACGACCGTCAGTGAATGATGAAGAAACAGTCCAACATTGAATTGATATCTCTTTCTGCATCTAAACAGTCTCTATCAACAGAAAGTGAGTATTATTAGAAGAATTCGATTCTAATTAATGAACAAGATTTGTACTATGTGACAGAGAGAGAGGGAGATGTCTTTTAATAGAAAGAAAGATAATACTATTTTCTAGGTCAACAGCGACAATCATGTCGATTACGTTGGGCTGAATCATCGTGGACAAGATGGATACAGATACCACTATTTTTGTGGGTATCACCTATTCTTTCCTTGGCTAATAAACGTACGCTTGTTGAAGACGATCTTAATGATCTTGCTGACAAGGAAAAATGTTCGATATTATTGAATAGAGTAAATCAGCATAGTTCTAAATGGCCAGGCACATGGGATGTATTCGTTAAAATATTTTATAAAGACTTTTTAACAAGTATGCTGCTTGTTTTTCCATTCTGCATAGCTCGCGTTGCACAGCCGTTGCTTATTCGTCAAATGGTTCTCTATATTAAAGATCAATCGGGATTACCCTCTTATTTGGGTTATCTATATGCTATTGCCCTTTGCATTGCTGCAATTGTGCAAGCAATCACTCAACAACAGATAATATTTCGAAATACACGCGTAGGCGTGCGAGCTCGCAATGCATTATCATCTACTATCTATAAGCACTTGTTAACCATCAATACTGCAGCTCTACACAAGACTACTGCGGCTCAGACGATTAATTTAGTATCAAACGATGCTAATAAATTTGCAGAATTAAGTATTTTCGTACATGGTTTGTTAATGGTACCTTTGGATTCTTTGGCAATGTTTGGCCTCATTTGGTGGACGATCGGTTTACCAACATTATTCGGCTATTCAGTATTGTTTCTATTAATACCAATACAGTTCATTTTCAGTAGAAAATTTAGTCAATACAGAAAGGCTACAATGGCATGTACAGACAAACGGGTGCAAACAATCAATGAAATTGTCAACGGATGTCAAATTATAAAAATGTACACTTGGGAAAAAGCCATGGAGCAACGCGTACTTGAAACACGTCTACAGGAAGTTTCAAACGTTCGAAAAGCAAGCAGTTTAAGAGCTCTCAATGTTGCTATGGCGTTCGTAGCGTCACCTTTGATCTCTCTTGCTACATTCGGTGGTAGTTGGTTAATGGGTCGTACGTTGCTTCCAGAGAATGTTTTCTCGACACTATCCTTCTTCGGCATGGTTCGACTTCCATTGACAATTACGATGCCATACTTTATTGAAAAATTCAGTGAAGCTCGTATTTCTGCAAGAAGAATTGATAAATTTATGCAACTGGACGTACTGCAAAATAGAAGTGAAAAAATGAAAAATGGAAATGATGTTTATGCAATTATGATGGAAAATGCATCATTTTCTTGGAAAGATGCTCCTTCTTTATCTTCTCTCAATTTGACAATCAAACACGGCAACTTAATTGGGGTAAAAGGTGCCATCGGTGCTGGTAAATCAACTCTACTAGCTGCTATTCTCGGTGAGATCAATCTTGTCAGTGGAAAATCACAAGTAAATGCTACATCGATTTCATATGCTCCACAATCGGCATGGATATTTGCTGACACAGTGCGAGCTAATATTCTACTTGGTAAACCACTCGATGAAGAACGTTACAATAGTGTAATAAAAGCATGTTGTCTTGATATTGATCTACAGAATTTTGGCGAAACGGGTGATTTATTGATGATTGGTGATAAAGGTGTTAATTTAAGTGGAGGACAAAAAGCTCGAATATCACTTGCTCGTGCACTTTATGCTGATGCTGACCTATATTTACTCGATGATCCACTTGCTGCTGTTGATCCCAAAGTGGCCAAAAGTATTTTTGATCAATGCATCGGTCCATATAGTCTCCTTCGTGGAAAAACACGAATATTGGTTACACATCAGACACACTTTTTAATTGAAACAGATCAAATGTTTCTCGTAGAAAATGGGCACATCGAAGAATTAAACATTGAACAACACACCACAATTCAGCCGTCGAATGAAACATTAGAAACAGATCCATCTGACAACAAGGAAACAGATTGGAAACTTGATACTTCTATAACTGATATAAATTCAATTGTGACAAGTGAAAAATCAGCTGATGGTAGTATTAAATGGAAAGTTTGGCTAGAACTATTTACTGCACCTCCGTTACGTTGGTTTGGCTTTTTACTTATGATTATTATAATATTTGGCAATGAGGCGTTGTATGATTTTACAAATAGTTGGCTAGCACGATGGTCCAGTAAAGATGAAACTGAACAACAGTCATCATTTTATATTAATGTCTATCTTGGAGTTATATTTGCTACATTGTTCGTTGCAGTGATACGTGTTGGCTTTATCATTTATATCATGTTATGTGGTTCAACCCATTTTCACAATCGAATGCTGAATGGTATCTTGTATACATCGTTACGTTTCTTTGAAAATAATCCAAGTGGACGAATCTTGAATCGAGCAAGTAAAGATCAACAAGTAGTAGATGAAGCATTACCTCTTGCTTTAATTGATACTATGCAATGTCTACTATTATCTTTTGGTTCTATCGTAGTCGTTGGAATAGCCAATCCATGGGTACTTTTAATTCTCATTCCGTTGACTCCTGCAGTTTTTTGGCTTCGTCGATTTTACATGAGTTCGAGTCGACAGCTCAAGCGATTGGAAAGTGTAACACGTAGTCCTGTTTATACATTGTTCTCAACTTCATTAGATGGACTCACTAGTATTCGTGCGTTTAATGTTCAAGATAGTTTTTTGAATATGTTCATAGAAAGAATCGATGCGAATACACGAGCTGCCTTCATTCTCAGTGCCACTACACATTGGTTTGGTTTAAGGCTTGATCTTATAGCATCTTCACTCACTTTGATTACTGGTATTCTCGCCGTAGCGTTGCGCCATCAAATAGATCCATCGACATTAGCACTCAGTTTAAGCTATTGCATTACCTTAACAGGTCTCTTTCAATGGGGTATAAGACAATCAGCCGAAGCTGAAAATTTCATGACTAGTGCAGAACGTATTCATGAATATGGTCAACTAGTATCAGAAAGTCATCAAAACAATGGTGACAACAATGTTCCAATACAACCAGACAAAGATTGGCCTTCTCGTGGTATTATCGAATTTAAAGATTACACTTTTCGCTATCGACCTGAGTTAGATCCAGTGCTCAAAAATCTTAATCTACGGATTGAATCTAAGGAAAAGATTGGAATTATTGGTCGGACAGGTAACATTTCTTTATTTTAATAAATACAAATATTACAAAGTCTATATAATAATAACAATATTTTTCATTCATTCAGGTGCTGGAAAATCATCACTTCTTCAAGCTCTTTTTCGGCTTGTCGATCAGTCAGCAGTCAATGGATCTATTCTCATCGACGACATTGATATTGGACGTTTATCACTTAATTATCTTCGTTCTCGTATAAGTGTTATTCCACAAGTACCCATACTCTTTTGTGGATCTCTTCGATACAATATTGATCCATTTAAACAATTCACAGATGAAGAATGTCTTACAGCACTTGAAGCTGTTCAACTCAAATCATTGGTACGCAATCATAATGATGGGATTCATTTGTTGGTGGCTGAATCTGGTGCAAATTTGAGTGCTGGTGAAAGACAATTGATTTGCGTCGCTCGAGCCATCTTGAAGAAGAGTCACATATTATTAATTGATGAAGCCACTGCAAATGTTGACTATGCGACAGATAAGATGATTCAAGAAGTCATCGCTGACAAGTTTCGTGATCGTACCATATTAACTATTGCACATCGATTGAATACTGTAGCCAACAGTGATCGTATTCTTATGTTAGAACAAGGAGAGGTTGCCCACTTTGATTCGCCTAGCAATATTAACCTGATTTAATACAATCACCAAAAAAATATATCTTTAGAATAAATAAATATAATTGTTGAGAGCAAGGCTCTTGAGGGTGTGGATGTGAACGAATGTAAGTGTAAAATAAATACCCACCCACACACAATATGAACCCACATCCTCACCTCCAAGATGATTAAACAAAAAAATACAATTCTATTTTTATTTCAGACAAAGTTTCATAACTGTTCCCTTTATCAGTTCCATACACGTTCTTGTCAAATCAAATCGTAATTTCTCCATACCATACAAAACTCTTCCATTATTACATTGCCTTCACGATCTTTGGTAACCAGAATTCCACCCTTCTCTGCTCCAGCCTTCAAATATAATGGCGTTCCTGCAGGTGAAGCCTCAAGGAATGTAGCTGCTCCCAAGGCTTTAGCTTCCTTCAATACCATACTTAATAATCTCAATCCAATTCCCTTTTTCTGATGATCTTCTGAAACGTTCATTCCACGGATGTAAACATATGGTGTGCCAGAAGGGAGATATTGTTGAGCCTGTCTTGCCCAGTCTGCATAACAGAAATCAAAGTTATGAAGAAATGTCATTATCATTTCGAGTTGTTCAGGAGTATAATCATCATATCCAACTAATATCTTTTGTTCAGGACTCAATTCATGATTTTCTGCATCGGATGGTACAAACGATGCTGGTCTATATCTACCAATTGAAGCGCCTACGATTTTTCCATTGATGGTTGATACATATGCTATGTCGTTCATCACCAGTGCTTCTTTGTGCCAATATTCAAATACAAGTTCCCGATTTGACTGACCTTTTGGAAGAAGATAATTGTAGAATGGAAATGATAAAGAAAATGAATCTGCTAAGAGTGAATTTATGCCTTTTGCATCGTTTATTGTTGCACGTCTAATAAGGACTTCTGAGTCAGTGGTAGCCATTATTCTTGTGTTTACTTTCGATGATTATGTCGTTAAAAGTAGAAAAAGTAAAAGAAGAATCTATAAAAATAACACAATATATAGTTATAATCAAATGAGACTCAGCATATTACGAAAAAATGCAGTCATATCTAATAGAACTCTTAAAAATGAGATGTAGTGATATTAAATAATAAGGATTATGAAAAATGTTACACAATTTAATCATGGTGAATTGTTAGTAATGGATTATTAGACAATAACAGTAACGTTTTTCAACCAAAATTGCTACAAATATCACTGCAATAAATGTACAACATGACGCAGCTCGTAAGAAATAGTTAGTCTTCTAGTTCTGTGCTCTTGTTATCAGACTTCTATAGAAGGCGAGTGACGATGCTTCACCATGATAAAGAGAGTGACAGAACAATATTCGTTTTTCCTTTCTGCATATTAGTTTTTCGTCTCTCAGTCACATTTCTCTTATCTCAATGTATTTTTCTTACTTTTGTTTTACAGTAGAACAAAAGTCTTTGATCACTTGTGGAATAGTCGTAGGATCATTTTGAGCGTCTACAGTGGCGGCAGAGCGTAGTAGGCCCGATTTCATGAAAAAATTTCTATTATAGTTTAATTTTCATGCTCTGATAGATGTCTTATTGTTAAAAGATTAGTGTTCACTGAAGTGTTTTTATGGGATTTTGCTCGTGTGGTGTCTGTATCGAAATCGAGTTGTTTATTTTTCAAATTCCAGAGCTTAATGTTTGCTTTAAACTTGTGTTTAAAATAAATTTTGAATTTTAGATGCTCATATATCATTATTCGTTTCGCATACAACTCATGAAAAAAGATACAGTAAAAATCAGATTAAACTTCATAAAAAATCGAAAAAACTAAAGTTTCCTTAACTATTACGATGAATTGCGGTTATAATCAATGAAAATGGGTTTCAGTTTGTTCATTTTGTCTCAGGTAGAAATCAATTTTTCACACGAACTGCTAATCGATTATAATCTCAGTTCATTATAATAATCAAAGAAATTTGTTTTTTTTTCGGTTATTTCTAATTACAACTCGATTAGAAGCATATGATTGTAGCAGGTTTTAAAAAAATTTTTAGTAGATTTTCTCGTCAAAGTTTTTTACATAAGGATGTCGGCTAAAAAAATCAGATTATGTCTTTTCAATAAAGAAAAATTAGGTGTATTTGATTTGAATTACATCTGTTCTGATTTGATTTGAATTACATCTGTTCTGATTTTATGTTAAAAAACCAAAGCTGAAAGACTATGTTTTGAGTACGAATAGTTTAATTTTTTGACTGTTTTCAAGCAGTATTTCTATGTTACACTTTCAGAAAAAGTATGAATCATACCTACTGAATAGTTGTGAAATTCAACTAACATTCAAACAGGAACGAATAAAATGAACTAATAAATAAAACAGAGTGCATGATTTTATTCATTGGTCATCTCTTTCATTTCTTCTTTTCACCGTTTACAAAATATACTTAAAGATGTCACTAAATGGCGTATATCTTTTTCATTTTATTTTATTTATTCACTTGTTTTTCTTTTCTTTCCTTTCCTCTCTTTTTCAATGTGAACATAAATTGGCACAATAATAATAATAATAAATGAAAAAAAATGTTTCAAGTACAACTCGACGAGGTGTACTTACCGGTGTCATCAGATTTTTCATAAATCAAATTACTTTCCTGAAAAATCGACCTTGAACGTGTAGATCAGTCTCTCAGTTACTGCACACCCTTACGCACATCTATATAAATTCACATCCACACCCTCTAGGTAGTTTTATGATAAGTCTATAAAGAAGATTTATAATTATCTGTATTCTAATTGAAATTCAAAGTTCTTTTCATTATTATTATCACTCAAGCATGTGTTAAATTAAAACGTTGGATCCGACCATTATCGGAATCCGCAACATACAAGTTGTTGAACAAATCAAAAGCGATACCATATGGATGATTTAATTGATTGGAGCCTAGGCCAGGTGTTCCAGTGCCGAGAATTGTAGAACCCATAGATGATCCATTAAGCCATCGCTGAATTCTATGGTTGCCTTCAAAAAAAGATCAATGATGAAGAAAAGGTTATGTAAGCCTACGCGACTATGTTTTTTTAATCCTATACGCTCGGCTTTTCCGAGCTAATGGCGATTATGAAAGGTATTAAATGGATTTTTTTGAAGTAATACATTTTCAATGGAGATAATTATTGATCGATATCGACGTAATAAAAGTGTCTCTAAATGAACGTCGTTTTTTTAAACAAACACTCTCCTTCAGTAGGCAGTGTTCTGGCGAAAAACATTTCTCTGTCCAATTAACGGTTTTGTAAAACTTCTAGATAAAGGCAGATGAGAGGTACTCACCGTAATCGCATACATAAATATTTCCAGCCAAATCGAAGATAACATGTGAGGGTTGATTTAGTTGATTTGCATTTGATCCGGAACTACTAGTTTGTCCGGCGACTAAGGTACCTGATGATGATGGTGGAGTCCACTTGAGGACGCGTCCATTATTGAAATCTGGTACATAGATATTACCACTCGAGTCGACTTTCGAATCATATGCATAAGCAATACTGTTCAAAGACGTACCAGCAACTCCGTTACCTGTTTATATTGAAATATATGCCTATGGTATGAAAATTGTCAAAAAAACAAGTAGTATAGTGTCTCATCCTTTTTCTTATGTGCTTAGAACAAGTCGAAAGTTTTATAAATGCATGATTGTAAGTATTTCTAACTTCTTTTATTACGAATCACTGACATATACGTGTTCAAATTTTTCTTGGACCGAATGTTTACTTCGGCGAAAGGTACAAAATTCTAGTTAGCGTCTTCAAATAAATTGAAAACAGCAGAGTAAAAAGTGTATTTACTTAATTCAGAATTTTTTTTTAGAAAAATCTCTTTTCTACATTACTTTATCTCTTATCAAAAGGAATGTCAATTTTTCATGCTTACCAGCGACTACAATGCCTTACGAGGCACCTTCGGGCCATTGAAGAACACGACGATTATCGCCATCATAAATGTACATATTGCCAATAGAATCGACTACGACGCTTTGGGGCTAATAGAGACAGGTAAAATACAATGAGGATATTGTCGAACTTGGGATAAAGTTAGACGTAAGAAATACAAACGATTATAAACTCCGTTCTCCTCTCTGTTCCACATCGATTCTCTTTCTTCGTCTACTGTTGGTTAATGTGTTAAACACATTGTCTCTATTCGGTACTTCTCTTTTGTAATGCTTTGCTATTCTTTGTACATTGATGTGATGAAAAGAAACATGTTGAGTGAGCTGGAAATGTCACAGTTACTCATAAGAGACTTTAGTATAAACGATGATTCCTGTAGTGTAACATATCTACTTATATAAATTCTAACTCATCATTACAGATCATACCAAAAACATGACGCAAAAATGTAAACTAACTTTGTTCAATTGATTTAAACTTGAACCACTGCTGCCTGTTATTCCGGCTGCTGTTGTTCCACTCGACGCTCCTGGAAGCCATTTTTGAATTCGATGATTATATTGGTCTGCCTGTTAAAAATTTAATAACACCCATATTATATATATCACAAGAACAAAACTGGTTGAAAAATTTTGATGATTTCGCTTATCTTCTCGTTGCAACATCAATATTTTTGCTTACAGTCATGTAATAAATTTGCTTTCCAAACTTGAACTTCTATAAATCTATATTAAATAACAACCTAACAGTCAAAATGGGTTTCCCTAGGATACAAATAATCAGAAACCTTATAGTTCATATTAACAACTAACGAATGTAACAATAACAAGAATAAATATACAAGTTTTTCTTCAAACATTAAAGCATACTATGCAGACATGAATTTTATTGTATGGTAACCGTAGCTAATAGGATGACAGAAAAGACGCTTGTATCTAACGAAATTTCCAAACTTTGTGTTTGAAAAAATCAATTTTATCATTCAATACAAAGAAAATGAGAAATAAAATTGCAAATGATCATACAGAACTTACTATATATAGTGTTCCATTACTATCCACATCTATACCGTTTGGTGAATTTAGTTGATTCATTCCTGATCCTGCTATTCCATTGCCAGCGATGACGGTTGGTGTAGCTCCATTACTTGGATAGAAAATGACCCGATGATTACCGAAATCATTTACATATAGATTATTGTTGATATCAAAAATAATGGGTCCCGGTCCACTCAATGGTAGAGTAGTGTCCGAGCCAGTTCCGGCCACAGTCTCACCCGTAGATGACCATACAGCATTGTCTGTCAGGGTGTTGTATGCTGTTAATACAGGAATGTAGTCGAAATGCGCTATTTTATATTTCTCTTAAAAACGATATCTCGAATGTTTATATATTTTGTAAATACAATTCCTACGTGTCTATCCAATAGATTTTGTGACTCCTTAAAACCTATAAAAGAATTCTAATTTTATCACTATCGAAAATCATTGAAGAATTTTGAAGATTCCGAAAACTGTGCAACAAATAACTGTATAAGTTACAACATGTTAAGCTCAGAAATTTATATTTCAAAAACTAATCTAGATTTTTCTGTAACCTCAATAATTAGTATCGCTAGTTCACAGCATTGAACAGAAACTGTACTGAACAGAGAAAACTACAAAATTAACCGCGACAGCTGCTATTGAATAAAAGATAATAACAATTACATTTAGTTACATGTTAATCCTATTCGAATAGCTATTCTACAGAAAGACAATTCAATTATAATTGATGCATTTCATGTTACGTATATCAGGTTATAAGCTTAGAAATTTAACATAGTCTTTAATTGCATACGAGGATAATGTATTATATTCTAACCATTGCCAGAATGAATCAAGCGGCATGTATTTACAAATACTACTCTTAGATTGTCTTGCTTTGTATGAGAAGAGAGAAAGATCAACATTATGATATATATTTTTTATGTAATTTCATTCACTTTTTAGTAATTACGAAGCAAAGAAAAAAGTGCCATCTATATGAAAAAAACTTCTAAATTTCAACATCTCGTTGATCACATCTTGAGAGTCTATTGAGATAAGAGTATAATATACAATATAGGATCCTAAATATTTCATCTACACTATAAGTGCTGTCTATGAATAAAGTTTTAACCACACTTACTCATGCTCGTTGTAATCGTCATCACTAGAATAGAAAATATTTCTCATTGAGATATGAATGGATTTCTAACAACTCATTACTTTGTAACTGATCAGTTGTTTCATACGTTGAGTATTGTGCTTCTGGTGGCAGAATAAGAAAGTAAAAGCTTGAATTAGGATTGCTGGTAACGGTGTAGGGTAACGAATAATTGTGAAAAAACAAACAGATTACATTGTGTGAACAGCTAAGACCAATAAGATTGTTCTCCAAAAGCATAGAACAAATACATTCAGTACATGAACCATTTATCGGTACGCTAGTAGCGAAAGACGAGGAGAGAAATATACCATTGATTGAACCAACTTGCACAGATGTAATCCAATTAGGAAATAGAAGAAGAAATTGAATAATGAAAAGTTGAGACATTCGAAAGTAGAACAGTTCGTTTGACTTTTAATGATGGTAACAATCGATGATTTCAACAATGTGATATATGCACGATTCTTGTTCTTAGTATTGACTCTCGGCCTTAATTGTGTTTATTGTTCGATCGAGAGAAGTGTTTTAAAAAAACATTGTTCTCACAACAAGCGAAAAACAAATAAAAAAAAGTCAGTTGATGGCATATATGTGAGTTGTGAAAAACAATTTCAGCTTCATTTTTTTCTCACATCGACGCCGTCAAGATATGTATACTATCTTTTACTTAATAAAGCAAATACAAAATAAAAACGCAGAATTTTTTTTCCTTCGTTTTATTTTGTGTGACATATTGGATAAACATACAAAATCAATAAATCATAAAATTTTTTCCATAAGACACCTCTAGTGAAAGAACGCATACCGGAGTACTCAAAAAGTACTCACGCTATAAAATATCACGAGAACTCATGAATACTTATGATGTTTGAGTATACTCATATGTTGTATTTGTCATACACATTAAGTGTTCGAGTACTTATATATAACTGCCGAGTATTCCAGTACTATAAGGAACTACTCGTTTCTAATTTTACGAGTACTCTATTGGTATATTTCATATACGACAATATTTGTATTAGTTTTTAATTTATTGATGTAATCTGGTTTTTGATCATATAACAGTAACGAGATTAACATAAAAAAGAACATAAGTAATACAAACAAGATAAAATATGATAGCATATTCAATGTTAAAAAACAAAGAAAAGACAGTAAAAAACATAAAACGATAAATAAAAAAATCTCCTCTAATTTTATAAAAAATTCAATTATCTCTATTTCGATATCACTAGTTTGGCTTAATATAATCAAGGCAAAAAAAACAAAATCACACATGAATTATATAGTATTCATTTACATGATTCAGATGGTTCTGATGGTAGTGCTCGTTGATATTGTTAGACGTGTTGATGTAGATTTAATTTGATTAGGATTTATACCAATAATTTCCTAGAATTGCAAGACAAATTGGATATAGATATATATAAGAAGAAGAAAAACTACTTCGATTTTTGTATAAATTTTATTAGTAAATTCAACTGAATTTGTTTGATTTGCTAATGTCTAGTTAATAGAAAAAATAAAGTTTCTATATGAAACGGATGTGTCTATTAAATTTTACTTGCAGCTGGTGCGTTTAATCGAAATTTTTGATCGAAATTCTAAAATTGTTTATTAAACATCTAAAAACAAATCAAAGACTAGATGAAAGCATTAAACACGTGATTATACGCAAACTATACTGTCGAGAATGATAGTTGAAAAAAAAAGAAAGACGTTATTTCTATATAAGACTATTCTCTATCTCGACATATATTCCTATTGGATATCTTCTATATACATGTACATAAACACAAATCACGTTGCTTTTTTTTCATTTTTAATTAACGAATAATATTATTGAACAAAACGGTTCTTTCGAAAAAATATCTAAGCACATGGAAAACAACTTCAATTTCTTCTATAGAATACAAACGTTTATTTGAAGAAAAAAAAGAAACGCATGAAAATTAACATCCAATTGTATGTTTTCTTTTCTTTTCTCGAAACAATATAGTCGTTTTGTTGTCTGATAATATTGAACAAAAAGGAACAGATAAAATATATTTTCATATCTAAATATATTGTGCAAATTTTACTTTCATATTATTTTATTTTCTAAATATTTCATATTTGAAAATGCATAACTGTTTTATTGAGTTACTTTCCAAAAAAATATAGAAGTATTCTAGTGAGTACTCAGTCAGTAAGAATACTCGTGAATTTTCATGAGTACTCATTTGAGTAATCTGAGTACTCATGCTGGCAAGTCGTACTCGCTTGATGAGTAGTTTCACTAAGGACATAATAAATATCTTTGAAAAATAAATGTAGTTTTTATTCAAGATGATCAGATCCAGGATGTGGATGTGGGTATGAATAGTTGCCATAACTTTACGTGAAGTTTCTTCTATTTAAATACATGTTGACTTTTTCGTCAGGCCAAATGAAAAGTATATGCATTAGTAATAATTGCAAGAAAAGAACGATAAAAACGTGCGCTCGTCGGTATTTTTTTAAAATTTTATGTTTTTTTCGGTTCTTGATGTAAACAACCGAAAAATATCGTGGTCTAAACGTTTCATTCTCTAATGGATTGCCGTTTTTTTATTAAAATGAAAAAACGATAATAAACGCATCAGTGATCACTGCAGTAAAGTAGATATGAAATAGTGTGTTTCTTCATATTTTTTATTCATTTTTTTCGGCTTCAATTATCGTTAAGTATTATTTAACTGTAAGTGAAATTATACTATTTGATTGTGTTCTAAAGAATTTAGATGATATCTTTAAATATTAGAGCTTATTCTAACGAGGAAAAATACGATTGTGAAACGACTCGACAAAGATATAATAATATTGTCAATAGACGTATGATGGATCAAAATGAGAGAAATTTTCGTCATTTAGCTCAAAAAATAATAGATACAGTTACCGAGAACTAGCAGATGCTTCGAAAGTTTTCTTTTCATACAAGTTATTCGGGTTACTTTCTAAGATACTGATATGGCGATAGGTTAAAGTAACATTTCGATTCAAAAGCGATAGTGAAATAGAATATCTGGAGGGTATAGATGTGGATGTGAGATGAATAGAATATCCATCCAAGATTATAATCCAATTTTATAGTAACAGTAAAATATATTTCTCCTATGGATATCTGCCTATAAATAACCTACGCGTCGATTAGTCTGATTTACTGAAAGCTCAGTTCAAATTTTAGAGTATTAATGCTGAATTTTCTCCGTTTAGAATTAATACAAAGTTTATTATCCACAGATCGGTCTTTCAACTAATTAATAAGATGAATACAACTACTTCTTATATTTCTGTTTATACCAAAGTATAGATGTAAAATAAAGACATGATTTACGAATGTGTGAATGTATCGATATCTTTTTTTTAATTCACACTCAAAATACTGTTAAAACCTATGAAATCTGTTGTCCTGCTTAGTTGTATATAAAATAATTTCTTTCAAAAAAAATATTTTTTCCTGATTTTATCACTGAAAAATTGTAATTATTGGGAAACTTCTATATGAACCTAATTGTAGTTAGTAATTCATAGTGGAAATATTTTGATGTAAAATTGAGATAACATAGAAGAAAAAGTTCATACTACAGGCTATCGAATGATGTAATTACGGTTAAAAAAATATTTTTTCTTCGTTGCAATATTTGCTGGAGAAGAAAAATATCACAGGATATCGTATAATGGTTGGTATATTTATACAGACTTTGAAAGATTCTTCTCGTTCGTTCTTGTTGTTATTTGAAAATAATTAATAAGGGACAGAAAAGAAAAAAAATTGGTAATACTCTCCATACGATATTTGACGTATTCATTCATGTTTTTTTTCTAATACTCCGCAGGTAACGAAATAAGATATCTATTTAAGAGTGAAATTTCGTTGGTTAAAATATTAAGTCGACAGTAAAAATACAATTCTTTACACATTTTTTTATTAAGTTTAAAATATGATCATTGCAATTAGTTCTAGATGTCTATAACGTTGTAAGGATAGATATTAGAAATGGCAAAAGACAAATATCGAATGTGCTAATGAATTAGTCATAGGGCGAAGCGGTTAAGTATAGAAATAAGATATCAGACATATTTATCAGGATAATATAGGCGGACTGAGTCTCTCAATTATAAAAGTCCTGTTTAGTCTCTGTGTGCCACTTTTTTTCAAGTGTGCAAAAGCTCGTTTCCTTGTCAAAAAAAACGACAAGAAATTCGATTATAATCAGTTTCTGATCGATTTCCACGACGGTAGTGGAAGAATAATTAGCAAAGAAATACAATCATACTTAGAAATACTATGTCTGTACAATATATAAAGTTTTCTATTTTCTCACGAATAAACCATCAACTTGTACCGTTTTTTTTACCATAAATATAACTCACCAAGTGTTGAGGCAAGAAATTTAGAAAATCGTAATCGCGAAATTTGGAGAAAAACTGAAAAATCCGTACACATAACTTTGACCTGTTTTTTTTCTCACTCGTCGCCTACAGTGCCTTTGCTATTCTAGATTTTCTTTCATGGCAGACTGCTGTTCCAAATCTCGATTAACGAAGATTGTACTCGGCATTGGATGTTTTTTCTGCATTATTGCTGTTGCCTGTATTTTAGTCGGTGTGACACTCTATATTGAAGAGCGTTACAAAGTGAAACTTTATAAAGAGGACTCCTGTCTCGTTCGATCGGTGAGCTACGAGACTATCAAGAAATGTTTTAAGTCTACCGCGAAAGGTGGTGGGACCTATACGACGTGTTATGTAGCAATCTGGCATGTCGAATTCGGTCAAAATGGAACACTTAAAACAACCATGCGAGATACTGTACAATATACTCAAACATCCACGCTGGCCAACTCTGATAGATATAAAGTATAATAACTTCACTGGATTAAATTTTTATTTTGAACATACTTGCATTTAGACTGGCAATTCGTATCCATGTTGGTACAATACAGAAAAACCGTCTCAAGTAACGTGGTACGTACCAAATGTTTCCTATGCTCTCATTTTACTTATAATTGGTGGAGCATTCATTCCATTCGCAATCGTCTCAATGATTATCTACTTTCGTCTACGAGAACGTGCCGATTTATAGAACAACTGTTCATTTTACTGAAGTGTGCAACTTAACTGATTGCTTTTGATACGTATTCTTCATATCTATTTCTACATTTTTTTGTATTCTTTTTCATATTCAATATATTCTTTTTTTTCGAATATAATTTAGATAAACTTGCTAAAGTGATTTCATCCTCGCTCAACAGACTCATGAAATGGCTTTAGATATTTCAATTCGATCAAAATTAACAATCTAATAAGAATATCATTGATACTGTTAGATAAGAGAGAAATCTTGTACCCAAATAGTAGTATAGAAAAACTGTGATGCAATTTCCTGAAATGCGCGACTTATGAGGACAAGAAATCAATTTAGGATAAAAATTTAATAAAAAAAAATCAAATTTTAAAGAGTTTCTAATAAGCTACCACGATGAGTTTCGACCGTGCACAAAGATTCCATCAAGTGAATGCAAATACTTTTGTACAAATTTTATATGTTAAAATACTTCAAAGAATAAAATCTTCTAAAAACATTCAACATAATCGATTTAAAAGGAATGAACTAAGATTCAAAAATAGATGATATATGAAATATGGTTTTGAAAACTGACAGGTAAAACTAATGAATACTGGATCTTGAGGATGAGTATATATTTAGGTTGTACTGATCGTTTGTAAATGTTTTCTGGATAATATGGAATTCGAGAGTCCATAAAAATAATGTATCATCTTTTCTTTTCTCCCTCTTCTATTTTCTTTTGGTTCTTCTTATCGATTAGATACGACATGAATGTAACATGAAGCACCTGTATATCTCTTCATATCATCCTTGATATATTTTATTTATCTATCCTTCATATATTTCGTTTATTTATCCTTCATATATCTCGTTTACTTATCCTTCATCTATTTTGTTATCTTACCCTTCAGATCATCTCATAATATGTACTTATTAAACATTGATATAAGCAAATCTTCGTAATAATTAATTAAAGGTTTCTTCTAGACAAAAAAGAATATGAATAGAGTATTATTTCATCTTGTAATATGTAAAAATTATTTGTGTGTATAACAAAATATTATAGTTTCGATAGTGTTTCTTTGTAATATCATTTGATAAAAACGATATTTCATTAAATCATCATATTATTTTTCTACCCAAATCGATACATTATTTAACGCATGAGTTTTTTTAGAAGGTCATTTAGTCTTTCTAAACGAATCTTTCGATTATTTTCTATATATGCATCAAAGCATTTATTATTCAAAAGAGTCAACAAATAATAAAAACAAAAAGGAAGAGAACAGAAAGATGAGTATATAAATATATATATATATTCATGCGCTCTTCCATAGAATATACTCTCATATTTATTATTCGATTTTTCATAGGATACAAATAATCACAATGTTCGTTGGACATCATCATCATTATCCTCATTATCATCTTGGTAAGAATAACGTAACTATTTATTTAAAATTATTCGTTTTTCTAATATAAAGGAGGTTTTGCTGGCGGTGGTGGTTTTGGAGGTGGCGGTTTTCCAGGAAGCTTTGGTAGTTATGGCGGCGGTTTCTCTAATCCATACGGTGGTACTTTCGGCGGACAAAACTATGGAAATTTCGGTAGTGGCTATGGCGTTGGTGGTTTCGGATCACCTTATGGATATGGTTTTCAGTGAAATGATCTACGAAGGTCATTCTTTTGCACTAGAATGGATTTTAAAGAAATGTACTAGTTACTAAATTTGTAAATATAGTCTTTTTTTTAAAATCTGCTACATTTGTTACGAATAAATCAATAAAGTTGTTAAATAGAAATCTCAAGTATATGTTCTCGTTAATCAAAGATCAACACTAAAGTCTTCTGAATTATTGAAAAAAAAACATAGAAAGAGCTTTTAATGTAAGAAAGAACAAACGATTAATCAATTTATCATTAGTCTAATTCATGTGTTGATAATCATTACTATCTATTCATGGAGAGAGTGAAAGAAATCATAGAATATTCAGAGAACTTTTTCCATTGATTATTTTAGTGAAAACAACAATTTTCGATTTCATTAAGAAAAGCTCTATGAAAGTTGTATAAACGAATTGCTATTGTAAAACTATTCTATTTTATATTCAAAAACTTTTCATATTAAACAAAAGTTATAGCACTCGATCTGTACGATATAGGAATATAACTAAATAACATTAAGATAGTGCAATTTAAATACATGAAAATGAAAATTTAATATACACCTGATTCATTCTTGTTCGCAAGATCAAAAGAAAGAGTGGTATGCCATTTCGTATACAAAGTCTTTATTTTCATCGTTGTTCTTATATCTGTACTGTTCTGTACAAGGAAAAATACTTGCATAACCACAAGAAATTTGTTAACAGTTTGTTCACATACAAGCCCTTCAAACATAACTCAATTGATTCATAATTCTTATTTCATTTCGTAACGTCTGCAGAAGATTAAATGAGATAACGGATACATACTATCAGTATCAGATAATATTTTCTTTTATTATAACCTCATACTTGCATCATCTATAAAATACGATATTTATTCCTGAATGTTTTATTTCGAAGGAATAAATTTCAGAAAATAGTATTTTGCATTTAATATATTTTCTCGATGAAAAGAATTTAGGCCTATAGTCAGAAGTATTAATAAAAAATTTCTAAGTTCTATTTTATTCTGTGACATCTTGAACATGCAAAATAATAGGAACACGTATTTCTTGAAAGTGATTAAGTTATTTTACTGACACTGACAAACGGGTATAGGTATGGGTGGGTATCGGTGTGGATTTTAGTAGGAATGAAGAAGAGATAGTCACCCCCCCCCCCCCCCATGCCTATAAATGAAGCTTTAAAATAAGTCTTCTTGTCTGAATTCTAATGCTTTACACGATGCATTTTACAGTATATTCGTTTTTGAATGCAATATATGATTCATTATGGCAAAGTTTTTTTTCGTTCTCTCACATGTGATAAAAGTGAGTGAGAGATAAGAATTGTTACTGGGAAAAAATTTCATATTTAACAAAGGTTATAAACGTGTTAATCATAATAAAAAACGACATTTCATTTCTTCAGAAGAGTCTTGTAACATGCACCTGTAGAATTAGTAAGCATTTTATGAACATGTTTTAAATTTTAGATATAGAGTGATTTCAACTTTTATTGTACTGAGACAATGGCGTTAACTTCATTTGACTGTTTACCAAATGAGCTAGTAATGAAGATACTCAGCTATTTTAGCGGTCTTGACGGATGGTTTATTTTTGGTAATTTGAATATCCGTTTGAATAATCTTCTATTAAGCTGTCCAAGAAACATTGACTTCAGTAATTGTAATAGACAACAATTTGATGTCGCTTGTCAATATATTTTTCCTCGAATTCAAAATCCATTTGCCATTAGTTTCTTTCCTAGACTCATGGTTGAATCCACTGATCGACTCTTTCTGGCATTGAAATTGAACAATTGTGAATATTTATTACAATCATTAACATTAGTTCATGTAAACAACCAATTCATGAGTATCATAGCGGAATATTTGAATAATTTTGTGAATCTTCATTCATTGACTGTTATGCATGATCCAGAAAAAGTATGGACGACATTTGTAGCGACGATCACGAAGTTAAATCTGCCTTCACTTAGCTATATCAAGCTTGGTTGTATAGCACAATCTTATATGCTACATTACTTTAACATTACTTTTGACGAACTTTATTCAAATATCGAGAATGTTCGAACGCTTATACTTAAACTTCCAATTACTGTCAGTACTTTTTGCAGTCTTTTATACATGTTGCCCTATCTAGTCTCTACAGATGTTATTTTGGTGAAAGACAAGGGTACGAAGACATCGTGTGCTCGTGATTTTTCGGCTGTCTTACAAAAACTTGTTCTTTCTATGAGTGACGAAATTCGTTTCGAGATAATTGCAGAGATTCTTCATAAGCTGCCACAATTACGTACATTCTGGTATATTGCATTCATTTGTGACAATTATGATGGAAAAGAATATCAAGATGGTCAAGTATGGGAACAATTAATTCGTACATATTTGCCAAACTTAATTGACTTTCGTTTACATGTAGGTCTTGAAAGAGAAAGGGGCGTAGGGCCTTCTAATATCATTCAATCATTTTGTACTTCTTTTTGGATTGAAAAAAAAAAGTGGTGGTTTGTTGCTGATCAACCTGATAATAATGCTGATACGATAGAACTTTACAGTTTACCTCCGCCAGTTAACTGTAAAATTATTTTCCGTACTAACGTACAGTGGGCTTCAAATTCATCAAATCCAAATTTTAAAAGTGTAAGAACACTCGGTCTATTGCCTACATCAAATCGATCAATGAGTTCGGTACCCAACACACGTTATTTTCCTAACGTAACAACAATTCGTTCAGCAAGTAGCTATGGCTTTGATTTCTTCTTCGATATTTCGATCCTTTCTGCTTGTATCGATTTAACAAAGATTAAGAATTGCGTCATCGTAAATCGAGATCTTATCAAAGCTCTGCCTGCCATGACCAATCTCACTACGATGGAAATACGACACGTCAGTGCAGATATTGAAGATTTCAAGAAAAATTATTCATCAATACCTACACTCAAGAAATTGAGCCTCGGTACTTATTCTTCTGATTATGGTTGTGATCAGAATGATTTAACAATAATTACATCTCTCTTTTCCAATCTCGAACATATCCAGTTGAGCATCGGCGAACTTGAAAGTCTGAATATTTTATTCGCTAAATTATCGCATTTGATTTATGCAACAATCTATTATAAGATTGAAGTCATTAATAGACAACATTTAGAACAATGGTTAAATGATCACGAAGCAATAATAAAATTTACTTGGTCTATAGACGACGATCGATTAGATATATGGATGGACTAATAAATACCTTTAAACAGTTTATATATATTATGTACTCGGTTTATATCACAAAAACAAAGGATGTTCATGTCCTTCACAAGAATTTGTATTTGAAAATTTTCAGTTAAAATAAAAATCAATAGACTTTGAAACTCTACACTACGACAAGATGTCCAGAAAAATAGAAAAAGACCATGATCAGAAGCTAATCGATTTTATCTAGCACAGATACATGAATATTAAGATCTTAGAATTGTGTGATACAATAAAGTGTTTTAAGAAAGTGACGGTTTTGTTACCAAAAGATTTTTGAACATAGCACTGGCATTATCGGCGAAAATGCCCCACGATGTTTTCACCGCTCTATAAATGCGAGTACTCAATGCAGCTCTGTTATCGAGATAAACCACCAACACAGAATTTTCTATGACAATCTCTACTCGATAGTCAACGTTTGATACAAGTGTGAATGGGACATCGGTTGAACCGACTGGGCTACTAGTCAACGATGAACGATTACTTTTGTCGAGGCTGAAGCGTTGTTGGGAAGGTACAAAGCGTAAGCTATAAAAGTGATTATAGCCGTCACAAGCACCAATTATAAAACCAAAGTCTTTGATAGCACGTGTAAATGACACTGTCGTACTGATTTTGTAATGTGTCAAGTTAATAGGATTGAACAGAACGTTTGTGATATCAGCATTGAGCATACTAGACAAGAAATACGAGGAAGTGTCTGATGGCGGATTTATCACAATGCCCCACCGACTATGCTCGATGATAGACTCATTGTACCTTCCCATATAGGCTTGAATTGTGTGTGGAATTGTGACAGCTAGGTCTTTAGTGATGTCCATCTGATAGAACTTGTGTACAATCAAATTTCCACCCCATTTCCACATTCCATCATCGGTATCACCTTCTAGCCGATTAATCCATGCAAAAATGTAATAATCACCATAGTTATCAGCGATGACCTTGGCGCCATAGAAGCTGTTCCCTTCGAAACGAATCGTATCTCCTGTCGGGCTGTTCCATGGTCCGGTCAGCGATATACTTTTACGATAATATACATTTTTCGAGTCGATATCTGAGAACAGCAAATAGTAGGTGTCTCCTATTTTGAACAAATCCGATGTCTCCATCATGAAAAAGTTGTTCGACCCGCCATCATAGAACACTCCTTGGTATGACCAGTTAAATAGATCAGAAGAAGTATAGTAGATAATCACACCTCGTGAAGTTCGCGCTGATACAATTAGATAATACTGTTTTGCAGCCATATCATAGAAAACGAACGGATCTCGAAAATTATCCTGTTCATCAAAACCTTGACCTACTGGAGCGTACAAAGTTGGAAAGGTTGAATTTTTTGTAAATTTATGTGTTAAACTCGACGAAGTGGCAAGCATAATACCTTCTTTTTTACTTACACAAGGTGAAGGATAATTGGGATTGTGAGCCGTATAAAATGCATAGTAGATGTTTTCCTTCTTCATAATACTACCAGTGCCTAGTGCAAAATCCTGGGAACACCCTTGCTTATCACAACTAAGTAATTCACCAGTGTCGATCATTGAATACGAATAGAAATTGTTGGTCTTGAATCCGTACCATGGGTGTCGCTGATTAGTAACATCATTCCAGATATCTTTCAAATACAAAATATAGATCCCTTTCGATTCATCATCGAAATAAGGCATCACGTCGCCCACAGCTGTGCCATCATCAACAGATAATGTATAGATAACATAAGTGCTATTTCCTTCTGGAGCGGTACAAATCAGATGACTGTCAACATTCATCTTGGAATTATTTTCTGTCCTATGATTCCAGTATTGATATTCACTTAAAGTTTGATCAAACATCAGCATGATAGACAAACAAAGTTTGCAGATGAGAAAGAAAATAGTCGTTGTTCTCATCATCATTCTCAATCGATTCGAAATAGAAGAAAAAGAAAAGTGCACATTTGATTTCAATTTTTGTGCGTATTTGGTTTCATCGTGCGATGAAATTGAAGATTAGTTGAAATTGGGGGTGTGAGTATGGATGTGATGAAATCATATCTATCACATTCACATCTACGTTTTCATTCACACCCACCCTTTTCTTTTTTTCTATTCTGAATCGACAGAGAATGATGATCAGAACAATAATTGTTTTTTTAAGAGTATGGGTATGAGTATGATAGTTATGATATCACCACACCCACACCCACATCCACCCTCAAGAAAGTGATTATTTTGAAACAAAAATATCTATCTGAATTGGTAAAAGATTAAATCAGATACATAAAATATTATTGTTAAAATTATTAGTGCAAATGTTACTAATTAGAGAGAATTTCCATGACCAGAAGAAGTGAGTGTGGGTATCACATTTATTCACCCGCAAATTCTAACGTATCGTTTAAGCGCTAAAACGTGCGCTTTTTTACAATTTTATTTTCGTTAAAATTCTAACACGTTATATAACACGTAATTTTTTGAATTACTTATAATTCAGTACCGTCGCCTAGTGTGGAGAAATGAGTTGTGACAGAACGCAAAAGAATATTCTTTGCGATAAGTAACAGAAGTTTCAAAACAAATACAACAACGTGAGTATTGCACGGTAGAGTTATGAATCATGCCGCGCAGAATGAAAACTGGGTAAAAATAAAAGACAGAAAGAACGAGAAAAGAATGATTTCCCATGATACGTTAAGTTGAGAATAATAATGAAAATATTTTAATAGAAAGTGTTACAAACATATTTTCATATGCTTTCACACATTCTTCGTTTGCTTGGTTCTCTTTTTCTTTGTCTTTTTTATATTTTTTTTTTATTATTCATTTGAGTGAGATACAACATAGAGAGCAGGACCTCTCTCATATAAAGAATCAGATGAATGCAGTGTAATGAAAGACGTTTATTTAAGTAAATGAATTTCATTGTTTTTCTCAAGTTAACTTATCGCTAATTCATTACATATCAAGCAGTTATATTTACTTGAATTTCTCACAATATATTGATTTTAGATTTTATTTTATGCATTGAGATTTATGTATGATTACTTAGTTTTGGTATGGTAGTCGAAGTATATGTTAGTATTCATTGGTATTATATCAAAGTACTAAATGTTGGTTCATGATCTGAGGTTATTACTGAAGATGATCGCTCTAACACTCGTTACAAGATCGCATATGTTACACATTTATCTATTATTTATGTTGAAATTCATTTTCCTAAATTTCTTTCAATTACACAACATTCATCTGATTCTTTCTATTAAAATGAATTCAAATCAATTACGAATGGACACTGCTAGAGATTATACAAAATTTTAATTAAAAGAGATATTCTAATTTAGATTTAAACTCCAATTTATCTGTGGATTCTTGCTAATGTTATCTTAGAATAGTAAATGAGAGTGAAATAACTATCTAAGCTCTTTTTTTTAAATTATAAAAAAATATTTGATAAACTTTTAAACTCGACTAAAACAGAACAGGCAAAAAACCCAGAGAGACTATATTTGTAACAATATTTGTTTTGTTCTTATGATTCTTTCTCACGTAATGTATTATTCTTAACTTTCTGTCCTTGTTATCTCTCTGATGGATGGGTATATAAGTGTATGCTTTGTTTGAAAGCGATGCGATTCTCGATAAAACGAAATACTATAAAGTGTAGTATCATCAGTATAAGCACTTCTATCAGAAATTGTCACAACTTTAAGGGAGAAATAGCAAAACTCGTTACTAAGACAGAATGTTTCCTAATAAAACTTATTAGATGGTATCATCATCTATCTTCATCTCTTTCTTATATGTATAGTTTCTTTCGTCCCGTTGTCACATATATGTGGCACTCGGTTAGGAAATTTAGTTGAGTTTGGAATGCTATAAATAAAGAAATTATTTCTATATTTTTAATTTTAAAGAAAAAAAGAACTCAGAGTAGTGTATGATTGTAGATTAAATCTGGTATATGAAAAAAGTTTTCTTCCCCTAATAACAAAACAAAATGTTGCATATTTGTATAAATCTAATCAGTTTAAGAAAAAAATAAATTTAGATTAAAGATAAAATTGATGAAGAAAATAAATTTTTTGATTATTTAGGTTTCTCATTCATTATGAATATTGTTTTGTAAGCGGGGCATACGGAGCATACGGAGCATTAACTTTTGAAATGAAAGGAAGAAAGTTTTTTTCTTTCAAATTGAATAGATATTTTTTTTTATCAGTGAGACATACGAGTCATTGATTTTTAGAATCAAAGAAAAAGAGATTTTTTTTCGTTGATTTGTATAGATTTTTTTCATGACCGAGACATGCGGGACATTGATTTTCTTTTAAAAAAGAAAAAATTGTTTTTTCTCCAAAACTCGATTGATGTTTTTTATCACAGGGACATGCGTGACATTCAGCGATTGATTGTTTTTTTTCCATAGAAAGTATAGAATTGTTTATATTAAATTATTTTATTTCCCAGGGTGTAAAGATTTCGTATGATCGGTTGAGGTGTAATAGATAGAGATTTTTTTTTCTATTTCATTTACATCGAGCAGGGAATCGATGGTGTAGGTTGCTTATTCATTTATTTTTTGCTTAATAAATATTAAAAGATTTTAGAAAATCAGATGAGTTCAATGAGAATTATTCGTATTACTATGAGTCACAAAATGATCAATTAACGCATAAACATATGAAAAAAATCATTAGTTGTATACAAAAATATTACAGATTCAAATTACAGTATTGAATTAATGAAACGTATGCACCAACAAGTCAGAATATGGGTGAGAATTGATTTAAACAAATTCAACTGTAACTTAATGTATAGATGTAATTCAAAGTAATTCTTCATCTGATAAATTTGATAAAAATTTCTGTGTTCTTTTACAAAACTACGTGATATTGCGTTGATCATAAAGCTGCTTTTACGTACTAAGATTTTCTCTTTTAGAAAAAAAATCACTTTTATTTTTTTTCGCGCATTCTAATCTCAACTGAACTCTCATGTCAACTTTAACATATGTCTATATCATACATAGTGTGATTCATCATCTTCTTCTATATGTGTTCTCGTTCTCTTTCATACCGTTCATGGATTTTTCCTTCATTCTTTCATATAAATTTTTCCTTTCATTCTACTACACGGATTTTTCCTTTCCTGTCGTTGATATATGTGTTGGTATATGTTATGGGAGTTTTCCTCATCTTGTTCTTTTGATTTCCTGTTGAAAATATCCCTAATAGAGTGATCCACCATCTTATATATAGCGTACCCAAAAACAAGTATAGCAACACTGTATGCGCAAAAATAGTTTAAACTGGTGAATACGACTAGATATCAGTAGCTAGAATTTCTGTAGAGTATAAGATCACCGAATCAATATCTGAATATTCCATGCGGTTTAGTTAAATACATTTTAAGCCAAATCTAAGAACGTACCTCTCACATCTCATTATAGGCTGCTGATATTCTTTTACTAGGTTTTATATGTTTCATAAATGGTATCTGTTAATAATTTTTTCTAATCTTTTTTCTAGATTCATTATACTAAAATGGAAGATAATGCTGAATTCTTAATTCGATCGATGTTGAATTTGGAAAAATGCAAAGGTATGCAAGGAAAAAAGCCAACTCGTCGAAAAGTTCGATCTCAATTAATTCAAATGCATGAGCGGTATCATTCATTTGAAAATAATAGTCAACCGTCAGTTGTTCATGAAAAGGTTACAAGTTTAATATACCCACCATGCACACAACCCTTGTCAAGCCTGCAACGAATATCATTAACCGATTTAGTATTGGAAACTGTTCATCGTGAAAAATATCTGCTTCTAAGAACAATTGTTCATCCAAAAAAGATTGTGGAAATTAGAACTATTGTTGAAGATCCTAACGGTGATGTTGACGTTTTAGAATTATACTATCAAAATCCTAATCGATCTCATAAAGATATAATTCCAAACGATAGTATTATTGTACTAAAAGAACCATACTATAAAATATCTGATCAAGGCGAAACTTCTTTAAGATGTGATCATCCAACTGATTTAATCTTTCTGGATGCAAATAATCCAATCGTACAAGATATCAAATGGAAAACTGGAACACCAAAAACTCACAAAATTCTAATAGCTGCTGAATACAAGACACTTGGAAATGATTATTTCAAACAAGGCAAATTTTATGAAGCTATTAAAGCTTACTCAGATGTAGGTCTTGAAGTTTTCTATTAGTTAGATAAGAGACTTTTTGTTTTCCAAAAGTCAATGAGAAGTCTGAGTTTGAAGAAAATACTTAAAATATTAGTGATTTAGGGTGGGTGTGGATGAAGAGTGTACATCAACACCCACACTCCACACTGTTTAGTGAAGCCTTACTTTGACTTTTCTTTGAGCAAATTTTACCTTGCATGTGAGATTTAGCGGATTTTTCATTGTTCTTTCTTTAGGGTATTTCATCCTCTGGCATTTCTGATCCAGAAATCTCTCTTCTTAGATTAAATCGTTCACAAGCTCAACTGAAAGTCAATCATTTCGAAGATGCTTTAAATAATTGTCAAGATATTTTAAAAAATGATCCAAATAACGTTAAAGCTTTGTACCGATGTATAAAAGCACTTTATGGTTTAGAGAATTATGACGAAGCCTTGGTGCAAGTGAAGAACTTATTAAAAATAGATCCTAAGAACGTCGATGCTCAACGAGAATTAAATTCAATTGAGACAAGAATTACAGAAAAAAGAAAAGGTCTTTACAATTTTGATCAAATGATTGAACAAGCTAAAAAATCGTCAACTCCTTGTCTTGATAACGCATCTTATGTTGGACCAGTTCAAGTTGCTGAGGTAAGTTATATACAACAGTTTTATTTTGACTATAGATCTCTTAATTATCTCATTAATTTTCGAACGGAGAGTCAAACAACAGTATTTCATTTGAAGAATGTCGTATGAATTTATTCATCAGTTCTTAATTCTACAAAACTAAATCATTTTGCGACTCGATTTTTTGCCCGATATAAAGTACATAGAGGAATATTTTTGCTAATTAGCAGGCCATTGAGTATTGTAAACATTCTTCTATTTCGAAAAAGAGCCGATACATGTGTAGTATCTGATATATGTCTCAATTCAAAGAAGTCGTTAGAAATGACGCATCATTTTCTACTCTATCTCTTTTTCTAGATTTCAACAGAAAGAGGTCGTGGTTTAATTCTTACTGAAGATGTTCGTAAAGGTCAATTACTATTATGTTGCAAGGCATTCGCAATTACTTATCCAACAGAATATAGTGAAGTTAATCATTTTAATGCAGTAACACAAGTTGTTGAAACTGGAGATCATGAAGTAAATACAGCAAAAGTTATTGACAAAATTCAGAGCAATCCATCTCTTGCACCTTCTCTATTTCAACTTTATGCTGGACAACATAGAATTGGTGAAACACTACCGATAGCTACAGCAGAAGCAATTGATTCTTTTTGGCTGTCTGATATTTGCTCGATGAATACATTCGGTGTATCAGAAGATGGGATCAATCCTCTTCCCATGCTGCCAACAAAATCAGAATACTCGAAAAATGGACATGCTGCTGGTCTTTTTCTTCTCCCATCTCTTATCAATCATGCCTGTTATGAAAACGTTATAAGAAGTTACATTGGAGATATGATGATTGTTCGTGCTGCGTATGATTTAACTCAGGGTACAGAACTTCTCCTTACATATGCTGATGATTTACTTCAATATGAAGAACGTACAAAACATTTGAAAAAACATAAATTTATTTGTAAATGCATGTTATGTGAATTAGATCGAGCTGAACCAGTCGCTATTCACAGAAAACGAAAGATACTAATTGACCAGTATAAAAACGAATATCGATCCTTAATGCTTGAGCAAATTTTTCAAAATCCACAAAAAGCAATTGGTGATATGTTAAAAATGATGACAAATATTGAAAATACTTATAACGAATCACGAAGGGAAAAGTATCGACTCGGATTAATTGAGCCTTTACTGGCTTTAGGTAAGTAGATTTCATTTTACTCGAACTCTATCTATATTAAGTTTATAATCAGCATTAAACTTCACGTCAAATGAATGTTTTCTCGTTAATAAACAGTGTAATTGTTCTCAGTTACTAAGAAAGTGTCAGAGGATGAAAAATAAATATGTCGATAATCATCGAGAAACAGCTGTTCCAATAGAATATGTAACGGATAAAATCCTGCAAACAATTACCGATAGAATCTGAGAAAAGTCGGAACAGCACATTTAGGGATCACTAAAAGACCTCTTCTCTTCGTGAAAATTCTTGTAAACTTGAGACCCATTTAATATTATCAAGATCTGAAATAAAATGAAGAAACTATTAGGACCACTGAGGTTAAAAATGCATGTGTTGGAAACAACCACTTTCCAGTTTTCAAAATACGAAAGATGCACGATTTTTACGAGGCAAAACATATCCTGTTAAAAGCACAGGCGATCTCTAGATTTAGTTCGTTTTGAAAAACGCCTTTGAAAGTTTTAAAGCACATTCGTGTATACAATCGTTTGGAATCGCGCACAACTCCTTTAAAGATTCTATTAAGTATAATACAATATTTCTCTCAAGTAATCCTCAAGAATGCTGGATGGTGTCATTCAATATCTGATTTTTCTTGAACCTCTAATCTTTTCGAGTACTTTCTCTTCTTTTATTTGCAAGTACTTTCATGAAAATTCAGTATCTTGCTTTCAAATTCTTCTAGGCAAAATGTATGGTGACACCGATGACACTCAAAATGCAATGGAATGTTATAAAAAACTTCTCAAGATACATGAATTTGATCTATCAACAAATGCTGAACTGTTAACTCGTTTTCTATTTAAAGGTGTTCAAGAACTAATTATGCTCTATTATGGAACATCACAAAGAGACAAAGGACAGCAATTATTAAAAAGATTACGCCAATCTTTAGTCGTTACGCCTACTGGTGACGATCGAATTTTTGTTGCAGAAAACCGACAATTTTTTTCTCAATTGTTTGGAGTCTATTTGTAACTGATTTTGTTTTTTGTGTTTAATTTTTTTATATCTGCTTCTTTCCTTTAACCGAGATAAAAAATATTCACTTTCTGTTTGCTAGTAGTCAAGATTTTCAGCGTCAGTGCCTAAAAAGTCGAATATTATAAATAGATAAGAAAAAGCAAACTCATCATGTTAACACATTAATATTAAGAATAATTGATAATTGAACACTTAAGTTGTACATACAAGACGAATAACTTCTGTTAGCTATTGTCAATAAAAATATCACGTGCGAACGCATAATTAAATCATAAGACTGCTGAATTAATGCAACTTTTTAATTTTTTTAACAATATATTAGAGTAAAAATTTCAATAGGAAGAAGAAATGTAGATGTAGATTTAAGTATAGTCTATGTCATACCCATACTGACAACCTTGTATATTTTTATCTTTCACGACCAAATCTATACCACATTGAGTCAATTAAATATAGTTCATTCCAAGGAACATAGTGGAATGATATTACATCGTCACCACAGCATTCGTAACTCTGTGAAAAAGATCAATTAACTTTATCGTTGAAAAACGAAAAGAAGCAATATACTCACAGTTACAGGCTCAAGTGCTGCTCTCTGCTTGTACCAATCTGGTATAGGACCGACGAAAAGATCATAGAAGTTTAGCGGATGAAAACGTTCACGATTTTCTTCATCGCGTGTATTGCCCATATAGACACCTTCACTACGAAGACATGCCCGAATTTCGATATCTTCATGACCTCCATATTTACGACACGTTGTATTAGGTTTTTGATGACCTTCATTGAAACGTTTTAATGCTTCACGACTTAACACATAGGAAGCACCACCTTGATGATAGTCATAACCCTAGCAAAGAGACATTTACGAAAATGTATTTAAATGATCAAATGTGATTCACGTTTGACTGTTCTCACATTTAATCTAATCAAAATACATACCTTGGAAATCCATCCGAATGAGACTGGTTCAGTAGTGTCTTGTTTGCTCAAAAATGTCTTTAGATTTTCCATAAAAATATAAGTATCATCATCAGCTTTAACGAACCAATCGAAATCATTGAAATGATATTCATATGCATATTGCAAAGCTAAAACGGTTTTTTGCGTTAAATGTTCGTAGCCAGGTGTAATATTGGCGATCGGTGCTATAGGTAAGTCATGAGTATCATTCGATGATTCTGTGATAAAATATAGACTATCACATCGTCGACCCCAAGTAGACAGCACTGCTCGTGTTCGAGTATCGAAATACTGCGGTGAGGTAAGAACGAAACAAAAGACGCGCACATGAGTATGATTGGTTTGAACTCGAAAGGATGTTGTGTGGTTGAAACAAAATCGATGGATGCCTATCATGAAACTGAACGTCACACATATTACGATTAGAAGAATGATCGCATTGAAGAAACTCCTTCGTAAAAACGCCATAAAATATGTATATGATATGGTTGCACTCTGTATAACTAATACTAATACTTCATTTCTTTTTCTTCAATGAAATAAAGATAAGAGTCAAATGAAGTGCCAAGATTGAGAGAAAAAAAGGTACATATTAGCCATCTGGTGGATTACGAAAAGAAAATAATCAACGAGCGTGAGTTGTTCTCTCTTTCGGCTGTAGTGCCACAATAAAATCAATAATACTGACGATTTTTTTTTCTTGTTCACATATCTTTATCTCTTTCGCTTGCTCTTGTTAAATATTTGCAGTTAATATGTGTCTTATTTTCTTAATATTTCTTCGGTATATCAATAGTATATATCAGTCCTTTCTTTTTTTTTTCGTTTAATATGTATTTGTTGTCTTATTCTTTCTCCTCTTTATCAGAGCTGAACAACTCAAATCAAAAAGGTGTCCAGCTCTGTCATTCATACTCTTATTTCTGTTATATATTTTTTCAATATTCACATTGCACATTCGATAAGAATTTTGTTGTTTCTCTTCCAATAATAACCATCTCGTTAGTCAACAAACTACTGTGTGGAAGAATAAGAAGCGATGCAATTATTTTATATAACCAATTTTTTTCGTTCTTCTATGATTCGAAAAATATAATATTAACTATACATAAATAAAGTTACCTGATGACGCTAATGCAAAATAAAATATTTTATAAGTAGCTGCAGAATAGAGAACGTCACTCATGCACGCATACATCCATTAGGCACTACATTAAGAAAAGAATCTATCATAACAAAAATATCGAAATAGGTATGTTTTGAAAGAAAAAAAAAATATTCATTTCATTCCTTACAAAAAATAAGTAGGTCGTATGGATGAAAATATGAATGATGCAGAAATCAACAACGTAACGAATTCTATTGATAAACAGGATACAGTGAATGATTTAAGCAAATTGACAAGTAGTACTAGTAAGTTATTTTTTTTAAGTAAAAATAATTAAAATTTCCATCGATCATAAATAAAACATCAAATAATGTTTGTTCATACATTTTAGATAATCAATCGTCACATACACGACCGCCATTGCTTCGGCAAAACACAATTAATTATAAACGAACACCGTCTGATGCTGATGTAATAAAATTACCTGTACCTAGTGGAGAACCACCGATCAATGTAGAAGATGATGAAACTGTTCTAGGAGTATCAGCTTATTCTATTCTTCGATACATGTATATGGCATTAATTGTCTACTCATTTCTCATTGCTTACATAACACAATGTTCTTGGTATACGATGCTTGTATTCTATTTTGTAGAATATATTTTATTTTACTTATGGCATTGGCAAGCTCATCATCGAATTTGGTGGATACCATTTAATGAAGGATGTTATAAAAAACATAAAGAACATCATTGGGAAATTTATCCACCAAAGAATTTTTATGGTATTCTAAAGCATCCAACTGATCAAACTAACAGAAATACTAATAGTACTGATCAATTACCAATATCAACATGGGATTATATGCGTCATAAGACATGGATTTCTGATCATGAAGGTTTACTTATTCTATTAACATTTATTCAATTGGTAAGTGCTCGTCTAATCTTTCATTGCTCGTATTCAACGATTGTATGTGCTCTTCTTGGCTTTATGGTAATGGGATTTATTGGAAATTGGCTTCATCATGCCTATCATGTTGAAGATCATTGGCTTGAACGTTATAAATGGTTTCATGAATTGCGTGCTCTTCATTATATACATCATCTGGGTACAGCTAAACACAATTATGGAGTTCTTAATATGACCCTTGATAGATTTCTTGGATCATTCACATTTACTGGAACGAAAAATAATAAAAAACATTAGACTTAATCTAATAACATGATACTTTTAATTTTCTCTTTTTTTCCTATTATTTTCAATAAACTAAAGTAAGAGAAGAAATGTTATGTAAGTTTACGATGAAAATGTTGACGATAAAAAAATTCAGATTTATTCATTGGTGAATCCAATCGTTGTTGATCTTCATCCGGCACGACCGACCCGGCTTGGAATACAGCCGTTGCTTTATGTTCATCGATGAATCTTTCTTGCGATTGAAGAGCACGTTCTACCTCTACTAAAGGATATCGTGCGACTCGACCTCGTATGAAACCATTTTTTTCATAAAATGAACATGCCTTATGCATATGAAATGATGTAGCTAAACGCATTTCATGATAACCATGTTGTCGAGCAAAATCGAGCGCAACTGAGAGTAAACGAGATCCTATGCCGAGTCTTTGTGCATCTGGAACAGTGGCCATCCGACGTAGTTCACAAATGTAATCTCGTTCATCGACAGCCATATCTCGATAGTAAATCGGATCACTAACAGATAGAGGCTGCACAGCTACTTGACCAAGAATACGACCATCATCATTTGATACAGCTACCCACCAGTGAGCATTAGGAATTTGAAGATAATTCTTCTCAATATCGGCCATGTCCGTATGTATGGCATGATTATAATGTTGACCGGGGTGTCCGACATCTAACATTAATTGCTGACAAGCACTTACATCCGATGGTTGATAACTACGAATAGTGAAGGGTGGTAACGTAGAAACAGCCATCTACAATAAATAAAATTAACTCATTTACTCGATTTTTGTATCACACAAATTGATGAACAAACAACGACTAATTTTATTGACCTATTACAGTAGAAGAGAAAAATTTTGAACGTACGTAAAGCTAAATTGATGCGACAATAACTTTATTCGATCTTTATCTTCGTCTATGATGAAACAGCGTCAACTTCGAATGTAAGCTGTGTTGTGTATCAATCGACAATCTTTTTTTTTTCGTTCTTCTCTATACGCAACGTGACTATCTTTTTCTTTAGAGCATATCTCGATTCAACGTTACATGAAGCTATGCTTTTGATAAGATGCATATATTTTATTCATACACCTGCCTATTGCAATCTAACGCACTTGACGAGAATATTTCTTTATGAGGCTCTATAGCATGTTATTTGTGTCAAGGATCATATTATTCTTGTGTAAAAAGATTTATTGAGGGTGTGGATATGAATGAAATTGAAAGTACGTCCACACCCTCAAGACTGATATACTCAGTAACATAGAAACAAAATTAAAAACAAGTTATTCTTATATTTTCGTCTAGTAGTGTCTGCTTGTCTGTTTTAAGTTCAATATTGTCCATTTGTTTTACTTTGTCCGAATATATCTTTACAGGCGATAATATGTGGAGTATGTAGTAGAGACCACCACTAACAATAAGACCTAAGAAAAAGTTAAATTGATACATTTTCGTTATAGCTGATGGAATAGAAGCACCAATTGCACCAGCAAAACCAACACTATTAATTAATATTCCAGCAATGTAAGCAACATATGCTCGCCAATTAATACCATAGCTATAGTAGTATAGTCCTTCTTTAGAAGCTGAATAAAGTTCGTTTGTATCTAGATATTCGCGTCGAACCAAATAGTAATCAGAGAACATTACACCGATAATTGCACTAACGAATGTCGAGTAAGATGATAAATAGGAAAGAAACGATGATGAATTTGAAAGTAAATACCATGGACAAATACAAAGACCAACTATAGAACATATATAACCGGATCGTCTAATATTTAAATATTTTGGAAAAAGAGCTGTTAGATCACATCCAGCAGAAATACTGTTACCAGCAATATTTACACCTAATTGTGCAAGACAGAATGAAAGCGAAATAAGAAAGACACCGATACGGGTAGTTATCGATGGCATATTATCGAGAAATGTATTTAGTAAATCCAATGGATTCCATATTTCTTTACCATAGATAACTTTTGATGATAATCCAACGATAAGACCAATAAAACTGGTAATACCAAAGCCAAAAGGAATCGTAATCATTTGTGGCCAGAATATAATTGATGGACGAATAGCAAATCTAGTATAATCTGAAATATTGACAATTATTGTAACACAACTAGCAATACAACTCATTATTGCTATAATCCATGACCATACACGAGCACTGTTTGTCGTTGTTGGTAAAATTGTTGATTGATGAAGAACAGCACCGATGCCTTTTGCTTTCACAACAACCCATATAAAGAAGAATATACCGGCAATAGGAACAACAATTGCTTTTACTGTAAATAAATGACGCATCTTATACACTGGAAACCATATAGCAATATTAGATAATGACCAAAAAATCATAAATCCAATAAAATCACGTGTATTAGTACCAAATGATGTTGGAAGTGTATTTCCTAGATAGTAATACGATGGTATGATTGAACGAATACAAATGACGACACATTGTCCACCTATCCACGCTTGTACTCCATACCATATACATGACATTATACCTCGATTGAGAATAGGCCATAGACTACCAAAAATACCAAATGATGCTCGTCCAATAACTGGAAATGAAATGTAATAGACAGCACCAGTTCTGGCTGAAATACAAATAAATATGGCAATAATTGTAAAACCAATCCACACACATATCCATGCTTCCCACCAGGACAAACCATCGCCAGCTGTAATGATAGAACTTATCACCATCCATGTACCGATATTTATCGCATCTGACAACCAAAGTGCAACATAATTCCAAGTACCCCACAGACGTCGATCACTTTCCAAAACTTTTAAATCTTCATTTTGTAGCATCGCTTCTGTACCACTTCGATGTCTGACCGTAGAATCTGCATAAATCCATGCTGGTTTACCCATTGTTAAATGTATAGTAGATTAATCTAAAAATATATTGATGATTGAATGAACAGCTATATATCTATATCTATCATCAACTAGACAAAACAGTCGAGAAAGAAAGACTAAATGATAGGAAGTGACCGATGTATATGTGTATGCACAGCGGGCATGTTCGATCATGAATATATAAGAGGTAGTATCTATATTTGTGATCAAGTTATCTTAGTTAATAGTCGTTTATAATCTATAAATCTATATTGCCTTTGAAAGAATTTAATGAAAGTGCGTTCTCGTTTTATATTAATATTTTTCCAAGTAATTATTTGAAAATACCCAGCAAATGATTAATTCCCTTCTAATGGCATTTATCATTCTTTCATTTTCGAAGATAAACGTGTAAAGGTGAATTTTTTTAAATGCCAGACAAATAAGAAATAGCATGCCTTATCTAAATGGCACAATATTTTAGTGTAGAATGTTCGATCATTATTCATATGTATAAAAGAATCATACACAGAAAGGAAGTGTAAAGGTCATTATTATTAATCATATCTTTATCTCTTTGATTTGTCTTTATATTATTGAATCGAGGATATGTAGACAATGATAAGAGAGGAGCAGAAAACTACTGTTTATTTGGTTTTCAATCTATTTCAATAGAATAATAGATTTTTACAAAATATTTTGTCATAACTCAAATTTCATTTTATAGGTTTATTATTTAATCAACCTAAATTTTTCTCATATGTGAGTGATGCAAGTATGAATCTTGTTCAAATATTTGTGTCAAGGTCTTTTTGTCGATATTAATGAAAGTCTCTACTGTTCTATGAAAAAATTTCATCAGATTGGCAAAAGATCATTGAATAATCCTCGAGGAATATTTGTTGACATTCATTTTAATTAATGCATGAAGAATTGGTTTCTACTATTAACGAGACAACTATCTGAAAAGAACATTAATTAAGTGGATTCTTTTTGTTTTGTAGATTTAATTTGAATGTACAAAACATTTCATGTTAAAATGTATAGATGAATATAATTCCCACCTATAATTATTCATACTCTTGACGTATTTCACATGAAGTAATTGTGTGCGTTATATATCATGGACACTCAGCTTACATTAAGTCGATTGCTATTTAATACAAAACAAATTTTATTTTAACCAAGCTTCTATATTGCTGAAGCAGAGTTATTTTTCTATCAAATTATACACGATAAATATATTTAACATTAATCTTTAGATAAAACCAGTTTCGAAAGCAAATACATGATGTTATTTTGCCTACGTACACAAATATTTGAGTGTGATTCATATTTTTAATAAACATAAAATTATATTCAAGTGTAAAGATTTACTTAGCTTATATATATCGATTACAAGTAAAAAGAAAAAAAGATTATGTGAATGAATGCATGCATAAAGACTTCATTTTTTTTTTCTTTGCGTATGAAATACAGGTCGCTGAATCTAAATATCATTACAGATATATACTGTTCGATTAACCTTATTGTATATTGATATTCTATATATTAATAATTAATAAAAAGAGTTAATTAGTTTAGATAAATAGTTGCGAGAAGAAACATGCGTAAGAGTGTAATTTTTAGTATTATTGTTGCTATTTTAATAATAATCGCTGTTGCTGTTGCATTAACCGTTGTTTTAACAAGAAGAAGTAGTACAATAGAAAAAACAACAACGACAAGTACCGGATCACCCGGCTCAACATCCATAGGAACAACAACGACGTCAACGACAATGTTAACAACAACAACGACATTAACGTCGACTACGACAACAACAACGTTGACAACAACAACTACAACAACAACGTCAACGATAACAACAACAATAACGTCGACAACTACAACGACAACAACTACGACAAAGCTGATGTTTATAAGTAAGTTCTTTCTAGTATAAGAGAAATCGATATTATTATATTTTATCGCTTCACATTTTTTCAGACCATCTAGTAGTATGAATAGTATTATGTTTCATAGTTGATACTCGACGGATCCATAACTAATACGATAAACTATAATTTCTTTTATTAATATGCAAAATCCGTTGAATCTTACTACAAAAAATTCTATTGTCTATTAAATTCACATCTTATCTTTTGTCTAGATAACACCAATCCAAAATGGACATCAGAAGGTTATACATTTGCTGGAGGAAATGGTTACGGACAGAATTTAAGTCAACTCTATTATCCTCGTAGCATTTTTATCGTTGATAATGATCCTCAAAGTATCTACATTGCTGATACAGGTAATCAACGAATTGTTGAATGGAAATATAATGCATCAAACGGTCAAGTAGTTGCAGGTGGAAATGGACGAGGAAATCGAATAGATCAACTCAGTGACCCAATAGATGTGTTTGTTGATCAAAAAAATGATTCACTCATTATTTGTGATCAAGGAAACAGGCGAGTTCTACGATGGTTTCTTCAAAATCACACGGATCCACAAATAATCATCTCTAACATTTCTTGTGGTGGTCTTACAATCGATAATAATGGAGATCTTTATGTTTCGGACTATAATAAGAATGAAGTAAGACGATGGAGCATAGGAGATATAAATAGTACAATAGTAGCAGGTGGAAATGGAAAAGGACAAGAACTTAATCAATTGAATTATCCTACTCGTATTTTTGTCAATCGAGATTATTCAGTGTATGTATCTGATGCAGAGAATTATCGTGTGATGAAATGGATTAAAGATGCAGAAGAAGGAATTATAGTTGCTGGTGGTAGAGGTGGAGGAACTAGTCTAGATAAAATGTATATGACTAATGGAGTGATTGTCGATCATTTAGATAATGTCTATGTGTCTGACATGGCAAATAATAGGGTGATTCGTTGGGCGAAAGGATCACAAGAAGGTAGTATCATTGTTGGTGGAAACGGATCCGGAAACCAATCAAATCAATTCATTAGTCCTAGAGGTTTATCATTCGATCAACAAGGCAATCTCTTCGTTGTCGACATGTATAATTCTCGAGTGCAAAAATTTAATATTGATATTGTTTGATGCTGTTTTGGTGATTGAATATTCATGTTATTTTTTGTTGTTGTTAAAGTCTATGTTTTTAATTCTGCGAACAAATAAAAAGAATATTAAGATGCTTCTCTAATAAATGTATACAAGATTCGAATTTAAGAGTGGGTGTGGATGTAGATATGGGTTTAATTTCTATTCTTCACCCACATAATACAACAGATAATTCATTCACTTATAAAGTTTATTCGATTTTCAATGAAGAAAAAAGTAACGTTAATATTTGATGTTTTCATCATTTTAAAACTTCTTTCAGTTTTCTTTGATATCAGACAAACATAATAATTTCTCTTCCAAATTTCTTTTCTCCTTTAATAGCAGAAGGAAATTAATACCGGAATGAAACAATTATATTTCTTCGTAAAAAGTGACGTGTTACCACTAGAGATGTGCGGAGACCGAGATTAAAAAAATTGTTAAGCGAATGATCTTAAAAATAGTATCAATCAAAACAAAGATATTATAAGAAATTATTAAGAATCTTAAGGATAATTTTGAATTTTCTAAGTTTCTAGATAACCTATTACAGTTATGGCAAACATGTTTAGAGTTAAAAAAAATGTTCAGTATGACACATTTTTTTTATAAAGTAGTGACGATTGTGAAACTGCAAACTTTTCTTTTCTTCGCCTCTTCGCTTTGCGTCAAGGAGAAGAAATGATTCACAATCATTCATTTAATTTATGTAGCCATACAAACAAAAAACAATCATCAATGTAATTTCACAACTTTAACCTATAAAAAATGCAGTTTGTTTCTTATAGCTTCTTATTTTTATATCCTCCTTTTTTCTAGTTGAAGACAACAAAAAATGGTATCACAAGGTACAGCCGAGTTTATTTCAATTTTCATACTGCTAAATATAATGTTATTAATATGCTTCCATATAAATTTATACTTTGGTTATAAAATGTTTATTCAATTTCCAAAGACTCAACATGAGACTCAATGTAGAGTTAATGAAACAAATGTTATGAAATTAACTAATGGAAAATTTCAAGCAATATGGACAGTTAATTTTAATAATGAACAATCAGCAAAAGTCTCAAAAATATTTATCAACACTTATAAAACATATACAGATGCAATTGAAGCAACTATCAATCAGTATAAAGTTAGTCAAAACTATTATGAAATACTAAGGAAACACGTCATTTTGTTTTTATAGATTAGTGAAGTTTACAAATGTTATTTCAATATAAATAAACCGTATGATTTAATTTGGACACTTGACGTTCAACTCACACAAGGCAGACGAAATTTAAACATTGCATTTGTTCTAGGAATTTTAATCTTAATTATCTGGGCAATACCCATCGGATATTTATTTCACAAATGGTTTAAAAACAAATTTATCAATTCAACAAAAATTGAATTTTCATTGAAAAATACATCAAAAGACTTTAGTCAGATTCAAATCAATTAATATAATGTATTTCTAAGAGACATCCATCAATTATACTAATGTTCAGTTTCTTTATAAGATGCACGATATGAAATGTTTTGTGTTTTCATTCAGATAATAAATCATTCTTCATTTTACTTTTCTGTTAATGTCTAGATTTGGCCTGTTTTATTTGCAGACTACATAAATTAGAGATCAATTATAAGTGCAATCTTGAGGGGTGTGGATGTATGTGTATCTCTTCTAACGGGCAAACAACTGATTAGGAATCCGCTAATCATTCTTAAGAGGCGGGGTGGGTGTGGATGTGTGTATCAATAAAAAGAATAATCACAATCACACTCTAGGGTAGAACTATAATAATTACTTGAAGATTGATATGATTTTTTTTTCTTTCGAAATATTGCTCTTACAACACTACTGCAGCATGTTTGAATTTACAGTAAGCTATTAAAATTCATTAATAGATAAATCTCACATTATCAAGATTCTATATACGTTCTTATGACTGAGGGTGCGTATGATCATTGCGTCATATCCTCAGCATCACATACACCCTCGCATTAAAAGAAAAAAAGGAAGTAAACTCTTGCAGGAATAAAGAAATGCTCTGCTTCGCATCGTATTAAAAGAAAAAAAAGAAAAAAACTTCGTGCAGAACTACATAAATGCTTTGCTTCACATTGCATTAAAAGAAAAAAAAAGGAAGTAAATTCTCGCAGGAGTAAAGAAACGCTCTGCTTCGCATCGTATTAAAAGAAAAGAAGGAAAAAAACTTCATGTAGAACTACGTAAATGCTTTGCTTCACATCGTATAAATAAGCGTTACTTGTTGTTAACTTTATAGAAAAGGAATCTGCTGTATTATAATGTTTTCGAAACCGCTGCATGTGCAAAGGGGTGAGTGAATCGTCACTACTTAGAAAATTACTTCAAAAAAAGTAATTACTGAATTTATCCAGTTTTCCTTTGATTTTTCCAAATATCTTGCACATTTATTGCTGTTCAGAACCGGCATCTTTTCTGGATACAACAAAAGTTGTGAGATATTCTTCTGTTGAGAGACGAATTCTCATCGATACTAATATTTTTGTGATATTCCTTATACTACTGAAATTCCATAAATTTTTATTGTTAGTTTAGAGTATTCACTAGTTTTTCATGTTATAGAAATGAATTACAATTGATTGTCAATAATTAAATTATTGATAATTAACAAAAATGTTCTAAGGTGTGAATGTGAATAGAAAATGGATTCAATAATCACATCCTTATTTTCATAAATTCTCTTTTAGATTATATATATATATATATATATCATAAATATCAATGGCCAATAATATTAATTATGAATATGCTAATGAAACATCTGTAGAGCCGGAGCTAATATGTGCCATCTGTAACGCTCCCTTCATTGATCCATTGTGTACTCCATGTGATCATTCTTTTTGTGGTGATTGCCTTACTAGATGGATCAATGGTGGAAATTTGTCATGTCCTATCTGCCGTAAAAATGTAGGATCTACAAATAATTTGGTGCAAGCCACCCGCATCGTACGAAATTTGGTTGATCAGCTTCCAGTCAAGTGTCTATTGTGTGGCGTCACAGGAATTCAAAGATGCAAGTTCGATGAACATATGAGTAGAGGATGCTCTCAGATGTGCGTCGTTTGTCCATCCGCAGATATTAAATGTCCATGGAAGGGCCCACGAGATCAACTGAATGCTCATATAGCAATGTGTGTTTTTGCACCCCTTCGGTCAATACTAACTGAGCTTTTGACTGGAAATCAACAACTCAAAGAGCAAATGAAGATACAAGAAGCTAAAATAGATCAATTATCTAGTGAGTATTAGGAAAGTTTCATATGTATATTTTTCTCAATAGTTTTTCAGATTGTAGTTGAATGAATAGATGCCTTTGTAATTTTTCTTCATCTGTCAGTGGAAGACTAGTGAAGAAATAAAAACATGTAGAAGTGTAATATAAGATCAGAGAAGTTAATACGAATTTTCTACTTAAGTTAAGATCCATCCAAGATATAAGTTTGTAGGTAACATTGCGAAGATTTCTATCTGAAGTACTAATAATCGTACTATCAATATACAGTAAAAATATATTGTTAATTATAAATTCTTCTGAAAAATTAGGTAATTTTATAAAATGAGATGTGAATATGAAGTTTATATTTGATAACCATGCCTCAGTCTAAATTACGAACAGTTAGATATCTATTGATCGAACTTCCTATGTTAGATATGTTTCAATGTAAAATTTTCTTATTTAGATAATATGAACAAGCAACAAAACAATAACCTGCTAACCGGTCAAAATAATCAGTGTAATAAGTGCCGTAGTTGCTATTATCTTGCTAGCACTGATAATAATCTTGCTGGTTATTATCATGTTTATGCTCAGAGTCTTAGCACGTTTCAATTCGATGTTCACACTAGAAGGAATGGTGTCTGTGTTGATTATTGTAACTGCCATTGTCACAAATGACAGATTCACAAAACTGATTTCATATGACATAAAACTCTAAGACATTGTAAAAGGAACAATTAATTTTATTGCGTTATTCACTATTTACTCTAGAACGAAATTTGAATGTGAATGAGATGATGAATGTGCATTTTATGTACGACTATCTTGAGGGTCTGAGTATGAAATAAACAACGAACTGTTACACTTTTTTTTTGAAAGAGCTTAACACTGATTGAACAATGTCAATGAGTCATGTTCATCATAAAACTAAACAAGAACTTCAATTATTCTATATGATTTTTATATCGTAAGCAACGTTTTTACTTCATCAATCATGATACGTGAGAACAAAAACGATAAGCCTGTGCTTTGCTTGTCTACAGCTTTACATCAATGAATTTACCTTTTTTTATTATATTGACGAACACATATAGTGAGCACATCACCTTGAAAATGTCGAATAATCTAAGGCTTTTCAACTACGCATCACGGTAGAGATAAGTTTACTTTAAAAGCAATTTAATTCACCATTTACTTTTTTTCGTTTAACAGATGACCAAAAGACATATACCACTGTTCATTTTTCTCCTAAAAAATGAAAAAATAAATACAAAACTCTGAGTCTAAGAGTTTAAAAGGGACTTTGAAACCACCTGTAGAGTGAAAGAAAACTTAAGTGGCGAAATCCTGACGTTTACTTATACAAATTGCTTTGCTAAATAACAACGGACTGATAGTAGCTCCTATAAGTTCGGTATGAACGTCAAAAGTACTATTTCTAATGAAGGTGTGGGTTAATTGAATAATGCCCACACCCACATTCACTATTTCCTCTTATCGGTTTACTAAAGCTGTCTCTTCCTTCTTTATTCTAATTCACGTATTTTCATTGATACTCTCACCCATGTAGCAAACTCTTGCATTATCATGTACTTATATCCATTATTTTTCATAAAACTTGACCAAACATAATCGATGTCGAGAGACTCAAATATGAAGTTTATTTTTTTTTAAATTGTTTAAATAAATAATTTGCTGATAGTTCAGAAACATCATTTCTGCGATAATGAACTGAGCGACTCTCCGAACGAGCGTTGCTTGCAATAAAAAAGCTTATCAGCGCAGCCCCGTTGCGGCTAAAAATGTGAAACTCACGTATGTTCGTATCAAAATATCCGATCACGTTTAAGTGCTTTGTTTTCTTTTTCGGCTCAAATTTAATTAATTTATAGCTATTCTTGACAAATTTTGGTTATTTTTTTTAAATTTACAGTAATTTATGGCTATTTTTAACTATTTTTGCTTATTTTTATTGAATCTGGGGGAGGGGGAGGGGAGCTGGGAAACTTGAACTTAAAACTTACACTCACGATTTTCTTCGAAAATTTACGTGAGTTCCACAAAATACAGTATAATGCATCATACTAAAAAAATACTTTATAATGCATCATAATAAAAAAATACGGTACAATGCATCATAATAGAAAAATACGGTACAATGCATCATAATAAAAAAAAACCTTATAATGCATTATAATAAAAAAAAGCTTGTCAATGCAGTCCCTTTGGAGTAGGTGTGGGTGTGAGTATATTTTCATTCGACACCTTCACCCACACCCACAACCTCAATAATAAAAGAGAAATTTTCTAAATATAAACTTCATATTTTCTTAAAATACGATGAGAGTGCGACTGTTCGTCTTATTGTGTTTCTTTATTTATATTTTCATTGAGTCATTGTTATTCAAATTTGTGGGAAAAAACACATTTGTCGATTATAGAGAAAGAAGAATGAAATTTATATGCCCACAAGTTTATAATGGAAAAAAAACACAAAATGACGTGTGCGTTTGAGCGACGTATCGACTATGCACACATAACGAAAATTTCTCATTGAGAATAAAACCGTATTAATACCATTATTTCTTCCACGCTAGGAAAAAGAAAAATAAACGGCGTCTTTTTAATAACTGCATCAAACAATTCTTTCTCACTCTTATTTTTTTTTATTGAATTTGCTCCGTTAACGACTTTCGAATGCCGCAGCAGAATTATGGCTCACCAAGATTATCTAACAAACCCGGCACTCGTATCAGTAAAAGCGCTGCTACAGGACAACAGAATGAGATCGTGCAAGATATATCATTAAGAAACGTGAATAATAAGCATATTTCGGCCAATGCAATTTTAGGGGCATACACACGTTTCAACGCTATTCCTCTTGGAACTAAAGAAGCTCTCCCACCTATTCCACCGAGTAGAGCTAATCCTGATAACGATTACGATGGTATTGATGATAATGTACATGATTTTAACACGATCGATGAAGACTCTTTACCACTTAAATTATTTGACGGGAAAAAACAATCACTCGATGAACTAAGTGAAGAATCCATGTCATATTTATGGTTTCGACGTATTAAAGAAATTTTTTTACATATGGATTATACCAAAGATAACCAGGCAGATGATCCTTTTATTGAATTTGATATGGATTTAGCTCGAGTTGATTTGATCAATGCATGTGATCGATATATAGAGAATGAACGGATTATCATTACCAAAACGGTAAAGTGTTCTAAATAATTTTCTTTTAAACAATCATAAACAGCTTGTATTTCCATAGCGAGTTTCATAATGAATAGTACTCACATTTACACTTGGTTATTTGAAACATGCTTTTGCTCAGACTGATTGAAAACCATATCTATCAGCTACAGATGCTCAAAAAATATATGATGGAAGCGTCGTTTTTAGCAAATAAAGTGTTAGCTCTTGAGGGAATGGGTGAATGCAATCTGTTACTCTTTAAAGCTTCGAAGCCCTCAGATCGTGTTCCAGAAAACCTGATTGTTTTAGGATCTAAATGCGCTTTTTATTTCTCAATATATATTACTCACAGTCATGGTCCTCAGCCATAGTATGCAAATCTATATCAAAAATCTTTTTCTGCAAAGGATTTCTGTAATTCTATTCATATGTGCAATGAATTTGTTTATATGTAGGATGTAAATACGACAAAATCTAAAGGCAGCAGTCAACAAACTGGTTCATCGTTGAGTATCGACGATTGTATCAATGAGCTCAATCATTTTACCACGAATCCATCATCAGAAGAATTGTCATCGGTATTGAATAAATGTATCGGATCGTTACGAGATCTTGATAAACGTACTGAAGATGTCATCGATAAATTACAGAAGCAACTGACAAAAAACTCAGAAGTTGATATTCGTACTATAAAAGAACTTATTCAATCTTTGCAAACAAAAGAAGTAAAACAAAAAAGTGATTTAGAAAAAAGACAAGATGGAGATATGAAGAAACTCTATGCAGAAGTATTTAAAATGTCTTATAAAAGAAATCCACTAAGAACAGATATTGAACAGGTAATAATAAAATTAGTTTTCCTCTAATGAATTAATTTATCTGATTAATATAATAGGAAGAATTAACACCAGTGAAGAAAGGCGATAATCAACCAAATTTTCGTAATGCTATTTGGTGGTACTCATGTGATAAAGCTAGCATATATTATCAAATTAATTCAATATTACGTCTAGAAAACTTTGAATTGTTAATGGCATATCGTTATTATTTGAGTGATCTTTGTAAAATGATAGAATTTATGTATCAAGAAAGAAAACGTGAGCAAGGTGATATTACTCAAACATTCTATCGAGCTGGACCTATTAATGAGGCCCAATTGGAAAAAATGCGTAAACCACAAAAACGTCAATTGATTTCGTTGATTGGTTTTATTTCAACAACAACTGATATGGATATTGCCAAAGGTTATGCCCAAAAGCAGAGTATATCGAAGGGTAACAAGAGAGCATTGTTTCAAATTACTGTTAAACCTCAAGAGTCATGTACAGCATTTGCATATATTGAAGGTATTTCATTTCATCCCGAAGAAAAAGAAGTTCTATTTAGTATGGGTTCTACATTTGTCGTTGGCAGTGTTACTGATCCTAAAGATGGCGAAAATTATTATACAGTTCAACTCATAGCGTCTGATATTGATAAAACCCTTATTAATGATATTCGTACTAAAGTCGAAGAATGTTCACCATCTGGTCGTGCCGCTTTATTAGCACACTATCTTATGGAACTAGGTGAATATCGAGCAGCTCGTAAATATCTCAGCTCTCTTCTAAACGAAGCACAAGATGGAGGTATATTAAACAATGATCCAAACTTAGCTTCAATTTACTCGTGTCTCGGTATGATTTATGCTCGACAGGGTCTTCATGGTGATGCGCTTAAAACATTCAAACAAGCACTTAATACGCAAGCACGTCTCGAATACTCGAATAATAATGCATTAGCCGAAATTCATAAAAGTATTGGATTAGCTTATGTAGGCCTAGGTCGTTTGAATGAAGCTGAAGAGACCTTAGCAAAAGCATTACGTATACAATTAAGAGAGGCTAACTCCGATCAACAGTATTTAGCATCGATCTACGGTGATATTGGTTATGTACAATACAAGAAGGATCATATGAGGAAAGCATTAGATGCTTTTGAAGAAGCTGAAAAGATTTATAAAAAAAATTCAAACAAGATCGCGCATGATGCTCTTGAACAATCTTTAACGAGAGCGGAATATCTTACAAATTATGGACATTTATTAAGTGTTAATAATGATATAGCAGAAGCACAAACACGATACAGCGAAGCACTGAAGCTTTATAAAAGTATTCTACGTGATAATGATCCTAAATTAATGCAAACTTATATCAATATAATGGTTGCTTATGCAAACACTAAAAAATTTAATGAAGTGACTAAATGGTTTGAAGATAAAACAGTTAAAGAATTAATTGATAAGCAAGAACTAAATATGTTTGAATTGAACAGTTCAGTAACACAATCTAGTCTTGCTTTTCTCCATGAATTTGTCGGTGCTTGTTATGTAGCCCAAAACTCGTATGATACAGCTATTCGCTTGTGGGCACGAGCTGTGATATTTAAACGTAAGGCACGTCTGGAACAATTATTGCTAGAAACTACAAATAGCATTTCATCGATGTCAATTAATGAGCAAAAAAGTTTTATTAATGAAAATTATCGTCGAGCGCGCGAGTATTTTAATAATACCACCAGGTAAGATTTCGTTAACTATTAAAACTGTTTCATAGAAATTTACTATTGTAGAGACACAGAGCAATCAAAAAATAAAAAAATAGAACAATTACCAAATGAATTTTGTGTGGGTCTACTCTATGCCGAATCCTATAATCATAGATCTGCAATTGAAAATTTGGAAAAGGCTATAACAATTTTAAATTCATCTGACGATGATATGAAGCTTATTGCTTGTCTTCTATTAATCAATTTGTACAAACATCAGCTTGATGAAAAATCGGCAATTGATAATTGCGATCGAGCTTTAGAATTAATCAAACAATCAAAAACTCAAAAGGATCGTGTATTAGAAGTCGAAGTCAATTTAACTCGTATTGAATGTATTAAGGAAGCAAAACAAAATGCAAAAATTTTTGACGAACAGAAAAATGCAAATGTTATTGACGAACTAAAAAAACTTGATAGATCTTTAAAAACAAATGGTAGTGATACAAAATATGTCACATTAAAAGTTATCATTTATGATACTCTAGCTCGTTATTATCTAGAAGAACCGAATTACGAGGAATTCGACAGAGTCGCTGAGAAATCGGTGACATATAAAATTCGTAACTTCTCACAATATCATCCTAGTTTAGTCATTAACTCAAAACTATTGGCGGGACGTTATATTCAACAATCTCGTTATCATGAAGCATTATATTTTTATGAACGTGCTCTTGAAGTACAAAATTTAAATTTAACTTTTGATCATTCACAAAACAGAAAAATGTATTATGCTATGGGTGATATCTATTGCAAATTAGATAAATTATCTAACGCAAAGGAAAAATATGATGTAGCTGAAAATATAAATTCAAATACTGATGAAGATGATGTATTAACTCAAGATAAAATCAATGCCGAAGAATCAATGGATATTTTAATGGCTCAAATCAGTATGCATCAACATTTAGCTGATTTGTATGCAAAAAAGAAAGATTATAAACAAGCTTTATCCGAAATGAATGAAATTCTCGAATTATTAGGGGATGAATTACCATCATCAGCATTTGATACAGATAATGATAAAGCATTAATTCAGAAAAATATTGATATTTCTACACTTTTCAATAGTCTCCAATTATTGGCTAACTGTTTATTACATATAGGAGATATTCTTGATACTGCTCAAGACGATGACATGGGTTATGAAGTAGCTTTGAATATTTACAAAAAACTGAATCATTATGATGGTAAATTAGGTTTTGATGAAATTATTTTATTGTATAAGAAGATGAGCCAATATAACGAAGATCTATCAAATATTGAGGATGCCATTGATTATCTTCAGAAAATCATAGATTCAAAAAAACCATCGAGCGCTGTTTTGTATCGAATGGGTGTTTTAAATATTAGTCGTGGTAGGCTTAAAGAAGCGACGGTAAACTTTAAGAAAATATTAGATGATCCATCAATTAGTGAGAAACAAGCAATTAAACAAATTGTACAAGAAAATTTAGATGAAATTCAAAGGAAAATAACAAGTCAACCACTGAATTCACGACGACTTTTACCAGGCCCTCATGTTAATCCTTATGATTGTATAGGATTTTCTGAAGATGATGGTGATATATCAATTGTGAGTCAACAGGAAAACGAGATTGATTCTAAAAAGAAAATAGAAAACACAGGTACAATTAACTTTAATATTATTATTTAATGTAATGTGTCTGCTTTATATCAATTTAGATGATTTATTAGATGATCGAGCTAAAGCATTCGCTTATCTTGAACTTAATGATAAGCAAAAATCACTCGAATCTTATCAGAAGTACATTAAAGATCATAGCAAAAATTTGTCAATATTGCATGCTTTCGAATTTCAATATTCTATAATTGAACAACATATGTATACATATGAACAGGAAAGTATGTCTATATTTTTACCCAAATTACTTTGTTGTCTGGTGAACAAACTTCGTGAAGGAGATTTAGACAAATCAGATATATTGAAAATAGCAAATTCATATGTTCGATGTGGATTTCTTTATAATGAACAATCTTTATATGTCAAAAGTAGTCTCGCTTATATATCAGCTTTTGATTTGTACTACACCAAATCAATCAGTGCTTCTGATACATTAATTAAACTTATGGGCAAAATACTTAATAACTATATCAATTACGAACTTCAACCTGCAATGGTCCTCGAAATCGCTCAGGAATTATCACTATCAGAAGCTGATATAAGTCAGATGCGTTTAAAAATAGGCGCGATGTATCGTGACAATCAAATAGAAAATGTTGATGATTTAGATGGTGACGGTGATACAAGTAATGAATCTCGAATAATTGCTTTAAAATGGTACAGAGATTGTTTAGTTGCTTCGAATGATGAGTTCATAAAAGCTACGTGTTATTATAATATTTTACATCTTTATAAAGATTATATTTATGAAGATGACAATGGAAAAGATGATGTTAATAATATGATGAATTTGTTACCTAAACTGAGTACTTTTGATCGGCGTCTGTTACTTGACCTGGCACGTCAATTTATGAAAGCGTATGACAACAATAAAGGTATTTGCAATAAAAATATTAATGATCAACTACAAAAACTTGTGAACGATTCTTTTAACGAAACATTGCAAGTGAATGGCGAGCTCAGTATTGGATGTTGTCTTATGAGATGTGATGATTCAGAAAATGCTGAAAGATATTGGAAGTCTATCATGGCACAAGTTAGATCTGATAAATCTGTACGAGTTCTATTACTTGTCTATGATTCTGATTCAACATTTGATGACATTCTCAATGCTATAAAGCATTCAGAGAATGAAATAGATTTACTTCTCAAGCAACTAATTGCAACTTATGAAAAAATGGGTGATTATTATAGATCAGAAGCTAAAAACAGTGAAAATCCAGATACAGACGGATTTCAAAAAGGTGATGATATGTACGAAAAGGCAATCCATCTAATGAACCGGCTTCATATGAATACAGACGATATTAATAAAATAGATCAAAAATTGCACGAAGAACAACCCAAGCCAAGAGATAAATAATGTTATGATTCATACGAAACTGATTGTTCATCGAGAAAAACACATGAACGAATTTTTTTTATCAAATTTAATGACTGACTGTATATGCTTGCTATTTATAACATGAGAAACACGTAAATACATAATAATTATTTGAAAGTTCTCACGACTGTTAGGAGGGTCATATGAAAAAAAATAGTTTGTTTGTCGCATATCAAAAAAGTGATGTGGGTACGGGGATATCTGCAATAGAACACGCCCACACTCTTAAAAAACTCGCTAGAACATGTGTCTAATGGATTAACTGTACTAATCAGAAATGAATTTATCAAACTGAGTTATCACTTAGACAGAGCTGTTTAGAAAATAACACTTCAGCGAGAAAAGAGAGAAAAAAAATTGTATTTATACATTATCATTCACAAAATAAAATGATGAATGGGTAGGTGTCAAGAATTTGGATGTGAATGTGATTAACATGTTCTCTCGCGTGCCCACCCACACTCATATCATCAAGGTGTAATTATGAAAACAGTAAATTTGTTCTCATGATTTTAGTATCAGTTGGTAATTCAAATATTCAAAAATATTTAGATGTACAATACATCTTTGTCAATTGTATCCTTTCTATATGAAAATGAAACTATTGATAAAATTACTCAAATTTGAATTCAAAATTTATTTACAAATACAAAAGATATCAATCAACAGTGATCATTCATTGATGTTATATTCTACTTAGAGCCGAAACCGATCTTAAAACAGAACAAAGACCTATCATTTTTTGCCTTTTAAAAACGATTTTTAGAGTGCGATTATAAAATTGCATATAGAAAACTTCATCTTTATTGAATGTAAATTTTTTTATGTGGTCAATACCAAATCAAGATCTTTCAAGTACATAACATCTTGAGAGTGAGGATGATCGATCTATATATCAGTCACGCCTTCACTCTACTCGCAAACAAAAGAAGAGTTTTTGTTATTTACAGTAGATTCTTCACAATTTCAGAAATAACTGATATTTCTTAAAAATAGTTTTGTTTGTTATTTAGTTAACATTATTCATCACAAGTCAGTTTTCGTTTATATCATAAAATAAATTACATATTCTTCTATAAAGAATAGCAGAAAAGACAATGCTGATTATTTTATAACATATTCTTGTATGTTTTTCGAGGTAAGAATCTTTCAAACAATACACAGGATGTTTCAAAAGTCATGATCATTTAACAAAATTTTTATGAGTAATGTTCAAAACCATTATATTTGATATCAATAAAAGAAATATCATGAAAAATTTGCTCTATTTTTGATTAAATCGATATCTCAAATTATTCTATTCTTCAAATTATAAAGATTTTAAACTATTGTTTTGAGATATCCCCACAAAGAGAAGTCTAATGGTGGCAGATTAGGCGAATGATTAGCTTATTATACTGATCTGCATCTTACAATCTACCTATCGTTGAAAATACTATAAAGCTAAGTACGGACAGCTTTTGATAAATATATCACCTGTTGTCAGCCCTTTAGAAGATGTAATTCTTTCAAACGTAGACCGTAGTTTACTTAATGAAGTCTTTAGCAGCAAGTGGATCATAGACTTCTTTTTATATGAACATCTCAAAACGATAGTTTAGAATCTAGATGATTTGAAGAACAGAATAATTTGACATATCGATTTAATTAAAAATAAAGCAAATTTTTCATGATATTTCTTTTATTGATGTCAAATATAATAGTTTTGAACATTACTCATACAAATGACTCGTATGAAAAAGAATATTAATATCACTTTGCTAATACGAGAGAAAAATGAATTTCTTAAATGATCATGACGTTTGGGACATCCTATATGCCGTATCATGTCTATATAATAGAAATATCTCTTCGCGCACAAAAACATCTGGAAATGATATTGAAAAAATTTAGTTCATTTCAAGAATAATCTTAATGTATCTTCTACTAATAACAATTGTTCTCAGTACCACAGCAAGATTGACGAATTTCTTCCTGTTTCATATCATATACAAATCGATTAAATATTGATTGCTTGCTTTATGAATCAAATATTTTTGAGTCGATCGCTCTTTTCTCTAGATAATATACGAGTTCTAATCTTAAGTATGTTTACACTGAAATAGCGTAGCAACAAAAAAAAATCATTTTTCTCGATAATCAACAATATTTATTCACTCATTACAAAATGAGACATGACTTAGTAATTTATAGAAAAAAAAGTATAGATTACGCTGAAAAAGAGAGAGAAAAAGAGAGTCTCTCTCTTTTAATAAATACTTTACATTTTCTTCAAAATTAGATTCATTTCATTCATTGAAAGAATTGTTGACGACAATGTCAAGAAAAGTTTCTTTATTACTTTTATTTATGTGTATTACACAAGCAGTTCCACAAGATATGCGATCAGCAAAAATGTCTTTAATGAATTGTTTCAAATTTGAATGTGCTAATACAACTTGTTTACCATTCATTAATATCATTACACAGAATAGTATGAAGTGTCAAATGTATTGTTTAAGTCAAATTCATTGTCGAGCAGCCAGTTTCCATCGATCAACTTCTAATTGTGAATTATTTACTGATATGTCAAATCAAAATGTGAATGCGGTAGCCGATATGGACACTGTTAGTATGAATGTTATTAGTGGAACAAGATTTCCATCTGGTTAGTATGAATACAATAGATTTAAAAAAAAATATAGATAGAAGTAATTTTCTCCTATAAATTAATTAGTTCATTTCTAGAATGATATAATCATTTGTCTGAACTATAGTTTTATTTAAGACAATTTCGCTATGAAAATTCCTTTCTATGCAGTCCCATAAGGACTGATTTCGATACAAGTAATACTGGATAAGAATGTTCGAAAGTTGAAGAACTAGCTTTTAAGTGATATTTAGTAAAAAAAAATATATTTATGTCTATACTTACAATCGATACATTGTTTCAAAAGACGAAATAAGTAGTTATGAACAAAACTTCATCTAATAATCTTGTCTCATTTTAAATTTATTTTTTTCAAATTAGAACCAACTACGACATCAACAACAACAACTACTACTACGACAACAACCACCACGACAACAAGCAGAACTACAACAACATCAACAACAACTACTACTACAACAACTGCTACAACGACAACAACAACTACTACCACTACAACAACAACAAGTAGGCTTTTAGCAGATCGAGTGTTTCAGTGAATATATCTGTGATTTTAGCAACAATAACTTGTACTGCTGGATACGTTCCAACACCGTCAGGAACATGTGTTAATACACTAATTGATTTTTATAATTGTGGATCAGTCGGTTATGTTTGTTCATCTGGTTATGGCAGTTGCTTAGGTGGCATATGTAGTATAACACGTAGTATCCGACTTGTTGGTGGTGTTGCTGTTTCTGGGTGGGACGGTTCTGTTAATGTCGATGATGCAACAACAATAGTCAGCCTTCCACTTACCATTACACTTTATAGTTATTCAAGTAGTAGTATCACTTTGTCAAGTAATGGAGTAAGTTTTCTTTATATTCAATTCATCAGAATAGGCTCACAGATGAAAACTTTTGCTTTTCTGTAAAGTCTTGAATCAAATAAAAAGTTTTTAATAAATATCTGTATATATTTGAAATATTGCAATAAATTCAATTGACTATATTTTAGGTTCTTTGTCTTGGTAGCTGTAGTAGTTCCTTGTCGAGTAGTACTCTTCCGAGTGCAAGTTTTGCTGGTCCAACAGTATTTGGATATTGGACTGACCTATACATTTTTACCGGTATGACGCAAGGACTTTATTATGGTGTCAGTGGGTTGGCACCTAATCGAATAACAACTTTCGAAATTATGGAAGCTCTTATTGATAATTCATCATCCTATAATCACTATCAAATTATTTTTTATGAAAATTTACCAAATATTGTTAAATGTTCTTATTTTGAAACGTACTCTGGAACTCGTCTACCAACTATAGGTGTGCAACGTAAGTTCTTTTTTATATGTTGTTTTTTTTATTAACAAGTGAAATATTTTTGTCATATAATAGAATCGGGAGCTGGGCCACAGATAACTTATTCAGCTGGTCAATTGAATCCAGTGGCAGCTGGCACAACAATCACATTTAATACAAATACTGGAACATATACTTTATAGGATTATTGATTGTGCTAATCAACAATAAAATATATGACTTCATAAATGAACTAATATTATAATTATCTATAGTATATTCTTCGCACAAGTGCTTATCACTTTTCTATTAGAAATCTCTGCATACAATTTTTGTTCTTATTTAGCTTCATTGTATTGTATCCGTTTATATTTAATCAACAAAAAAATAATAAAATATTAAAAATTCATAAAAAAAACTGTATCAAGTTTTTTAATTACAAATTTTCAAAGTTGCTTGCATGTACATTCAAAAGTAATACATTCAAAGATTTTCTAAAATTTTTACACTTCAATCGATTAATAACTTTATTTCGTAGGGTGTGGGTAGGAGATAAATATAATACCCACACTCTCACGATCTAGTCGATCATAAGTATGTCAAAAGCAATCTTAAGATTAAGATATTATTTTTTTATTAATCATAAAAAAGAGAAAAAAACATGAACTTTGTTATCGCTGCTTTGACGGTTGCTCAACATGTAGAATTTGATTTGAATGCTTTACCCACATTAATTGATAATATTTGATGCAATATTTCTGTAGGATGATTTGAGTGATTCCAGTTCTTTCGTAAGTTGATCGACTCGATTAGTCAATTGTTGATTTTCAGTGACTAACGTGGCCATTTTTAATTCTCTTGCTTTCTTGCTTTCTTTAGTTTTCTGTCGTGATTTCTTTACGGCTCGATTATTTTTCGATCGTTTATGATGATATTCTTTAGAATATTTCATCACTTTCGTATTTCCAAATCGAACCCATTCCGAAGTAGAATCACTAGACAGTGTAGAATCTCTTCGATCGATTTGATCTTGTTCAGACTTGTTGGACATAATGGACTTAGAATTAAGTAATTTTACAATTGCATCTAAAATATCTAAATCAAAAGACAAATCATTAAACTAATGTTCAGTCAAAATGAAATCATCAAAAAATATTTGAATCATATGATTCTTGATCTGTAGACAAACCAATAGAATCTTTTATTTCAATTAGTTTCAACGTATTTAAAGGGGATTCATTTGCCAGTCAAATTTTGGTGTTGAGTATCTGAAAATACAATAAAATTCATAGATATTGATCATTTGTTGATTGTGAAGTATTTGGTTTAAGTTCAAAGAATAACATAGTAATGGTTTAGACTGTGTTGAATATAAGGAAGTTTTATAATGAAAGAGAGAAAATATTGCAGTTATTGCGAAATTTCTTTCTTCCTATCACTTTTGTCATACGTTGAAATTTCGTAATAACATCTATGAATCACAATAGAACTGATATATTAAAGTCCATTTTCAATAGAAAAATACTTGAAACATTTATTTAATGTTACTAAGACACAAAGAATTTTTTGTTACAATGTAATAAAAAAGAGTATATTTGAAAGAATGAACTATGCAAGTCCGTGATAGCAATACAAAATCACAACTGCTTCTTTAGACACTCAACTTCTCCACCATGAAATGGTACAGTAGCATCCTTCCCCACCTGACTCTTAAGTAGAGCTCGACCACCAGGATGAGAGTCGATAAAATCGGTGACATCATGAACAAAACCAGCAATCAAGATAAATTGACGACCGTCATCTCCGTTAGCCATTTGTTGATATTCTTCGAAAGAAATGATGGGTAATTGTGTTCGATCTTTGGGCCATGCAATACTATCTCTCACTTTATTTGATGCTTTGACCGTGGGTGTGGGTGTGGATGTGAGTGTGAGTGTGGATGCAGATTTCTACTATACCTGCATATTCGTCCTCGATCACATCTCATACTCAAAGTCATCAACAAAAGCAAATTTTGTTAGGAATTGCTGAGTGAAATCACTCATTCACCCAGTATTTCGGATGAAACCCCTCATCTTGATGTTTGAAATGGGTATTATTTCTATCGATGATTCACCCACTCCCACAACCATCAACATCTAAAACTGAGGATGTGGATGTGGGTAGTGTGAATAATTGTGTGTGTGGTATAAGCGTAGGCGTGATGTGGGAAGACAATCACATTCGCTCTTAAATTCTTACCAAATAAATATTCGTTAAGTCCACATAGAAATATAAGAGCTCATGAATAAACATAAGTAATCTTTCATTGCTGTGCGCATTCGTTTTTATTCCTTACCTTCATATAATTCATATTCAAGTGTAATATTACAAAATCTTTTATAATATCGTTCTTCCTTTACTGTTTTATCCTGTGAAACATTTCTTCCAACGTAATTTTAGAGAAATAAAACATTAATTGGAAGATTCCATTACAAATATTTACACTTATAAAACACTTCGCAACATCCATACAACATACGCATATCAACCAAGGATGGTTGAGAATTTGTCATTTGCTTCAATAGAATGTAAAGCATGTCGTCAGAAACTAAGAGTGTGTGCACTGAGGTGACTTATAGAATTTTAGAATAAATCTATATGAAATGATTTCATATTAGTATAGATGGGTATGGTTGGTGAGATTCAAAGAAGAGACACCCATATATACACTCTCACCCACATCCTTCTTATGCTAAAATTCCAACATCCTATAACTGTAAAATTCTTGAATTTTAGAATAAGCGCGCTGCTGCTCTTTCAGATATGGCGGAAATTCTAAATTATAACGATCGTCAATCAAATGGTTTACGAAACGGACAATTGCACGAAGTTCGTGTCAATCAACGAAAGATGATTGATAACATATTTACTCAATATTCATCGGATTTCGTTGTTTGTCGAGAAGTCATTCAAAATGCGGATGATGCTCGAGCAACATCTTTTCATTTGCAAATTAAATGCGATGCACCATATTCATCATTACCAAAAGAGAAAGAATTTGATAATCGAACAATTACTGAATTCCGTATGATAAACAATGGTAAGATCTTCTCGGAAACTGATTGGAAACGTGTTGCTACTATTGCCGAAGGAAACACAGATCCTCAATCAGTTGGTCAATTTGGTGTTGGATTTTTCTCCGTATTTTCATATACGAATGAACCAATGATTACATCTGGAAAAGAATACATGAAATTTGTTTGGAAAGGTGATCAATTATTTTATGAACATGATAAACTATCAATTCAACAACAATCCAACGAAACTTCAATTATTCTTAACATGCGAAATAAATGTATTCTATGCATTGAATCAAATTTAAATAGCAGTAAAGAAACAAAGGAAGTTATGTCAACAATCAATTTAACTGAATTGAAAGCTTATTTTGCCAAAGGTAAAACAATTTAGCAAAAAATAAATTTTCTACTTCTATTTTATTTTACATTATAAATAGTTCTTTCATTTACACGTCATATTGTAAATCTTGTTATAACAATCAATTCATTAACTGTCTTTCAAGTATCTAAAAAGAAATATGATAATCCATCAATTCAAAATACATTTACATTTAAACCACAGTCTTCTATTCATCATATGTTACATATCAATTCATTTGTTGTTACAGAACAAATCATTACTATTGATAATACTGCATCCATTGTTCTTGGTCATATAACTGTCGAAGCTAGTGTCAATGTTGATCAACAATTTCATAATTATATTGAACGTACTTTGAAACGTTTACCATCTAGTATTAAAATTCAAATTTTATTCGTACCAATTGATGTGAATAACGAATTGCTTTTTTTTTATTTTTGGACTTTTTATAGTTTTTTTTCTTTAGACTATTATTAATCAACAACAATTGCAATCATCGTTAGTAGATAAGAATCTAAATAGTCAAATTCTCGAACGGATCCTCCCATTAAAATTTCTTGATAATGAAATTATTCCATCAGGATTTATATTTATTGGACTTGGAACACATCAGTCGATTGGTATAGGGATGCATGTCTACAGTCATTTTATTCCAACTGTCGAACGTCAAGAACTCAATCTACAAGATCCATACATTGCCAAATGGAATAAAGAACTTCTTGCAACTGTTGGACAAATCGCTCGATGTTTCTACGATCAAACAATCAACCATAGTTCACACAATAGATCAGATGTCTATTACAATGCTTTAATAAAATCTTATTCTTTTCAACCAACAACACCAAACGAGAAAGTTGGTAAGTTCATACTCAATTATTAATTGAATTAAATTAAGTAATTTTTTTCTTGTAGGTATCATCGTTCGTAGTGGATTTTTTGCATCAAGAAATAATATTCTCGTTCCAGTAAAACAAACATCAACTGCGAAGCATTTATCATTATTACCATCTGCACAAGCATTTCTTGCAGATTCTAAATATATTCATGAATTTCTTTCACTTCCACTTGTTCCATTTGAATTAGCTAGAAATCATTTCTTTACGATATTAAAAGAATATCAACTAATCAATATTGTTAACAAATCCATCATAGAAACACAATTAATTTCATCCATTCTTTTATTCAATGAATTAATTGCATTACTTCAATGGCTTTGTATTCATGGTATCAATGATCGTTCATATGCCAAACGCATACTTTTAATCGTTCGTTTTCAAGAAACTATTAATTCACCAATTAGTTTCTTCAAACAAATCAATTGTTATGATGCATCAAATATTTCATCAATTCTTCCTCTACCACTAAATGTTTTACCAGTTAGTATAGCTGGACATTTTTCAGAAGAACAGCTTCGACATCATTTATTTCTGATACCATGTACATTCAAAGATCTTATGGAATTTTATTTACATGAAAATCAACATTATTTATTTTACGATAGTAAAACAGCAACACGTCTTTTAAGTAATCTATCAAAATATTCAAGTCATTTTTCCCAATCAAAATGGTTAGAAGTTAAAAAGATTCTTTCCGATCTGAAATGTATACCAACAACAGAAGGTATGAAATTACCAAATGAATCATATATTCCATCCCATATGTTAACACCTGATTCACCTGCTATTACACTTAATATTCTACCAGATAAGACAAAAACAAAGAATCAAACAAATATTAATAATTCCGATGAAAATCTTGTTTCAACATATTTTCTTAAACAAATTGGATGTCGAATGTTGAATATCCAATCGATCATCAAATATTGGCAAATGAACTCTAATAATATATCAGAATTAAATCAAGAAAATATCCAAACATTAATCGAAACTTTAATGAAAGAACGAAAATATATGACTGATGAAGATTTTAAAGCTCTGAAACAAAGTCAATTTTTGCAAGGTTAGTTTAAATAATTTCCTCAAACAAACTATTTTCTATCTTCATAGGAACAACATTGCAATCTACTGATCGAATCAAACAACAATATTTTCCTCATGATCTTCATTTTCCATCGATTGCTAAAGACCTCAATTGGAATGACTTGATTATTCTCGATTGGGACGATATTGATCCACATTCATCTGAATTTGCTTTTTTAAAAGAATTAGGTGTAAGAGACATACCTGATTTACATAATTTAATTAATCGTATCATTGTTGAATATAATGATAAACAACATAAATTACCAATAGCACTTCAGTTTTTTGCTAAAAAATTTCAAAAATATTATTCAACAACATGGAAAATAAACGATATTCAACAAGCATTTCTTCCATCATGTTTACCAACAAAAACTAATAGTAATAATAATATAATTTTATCAACACCAAATAAAGTATTTCTAAAATCAAATCCTTTATATGCTACTCTTCTTCCTGAAGTAGTGAAATTATTTGAAAAATATCATATTATTCCGTTGCTTGGTATTAAAGAACAGCCCACTCTAACACAAGCTTTTGATACTGTTATCGAAAGAAAAACTGAATTGTTAACAATCAATTCAGCTGGGGAAATATTTGCATATTTGAATGGACTCGAAGGACTTAATCAGACATTTATAAAACATTTATCTAATATTGCTTTTATTCCTTTACATGGTGTGTCAACATTAATGAAACCATCACAAATCTTCATCCAACACGCAACAAGCTCGGCTTCTACAGAATTAGATATGAGTGGTCTCATTGATTATGTCGATTATGGATCAGAAGGCAATTCATTTCTTTTAACTATTGGTGTTCGCCATTTTCCACCTATTCCCAAGCTAGTTGAAATACTTCTTGAACGACAAGCAAATTATTTTTCTAATTTGAAAGATAATGAAACAATTTTAAAACAGAAGATCAATACTTATATTAATTGTCTTAAACGAATTGCACGTGTTTCGGCTGAAATACCTGAATTTCACAATGAGCCATTAGAAAGACGATTAAAAACGGAACCATGGTGTCTTGGTTTTCAACGAATTGATAGTAATGAAAGTAAAACGATGTATTTTTATAGAATTGTGAAACCAACTGAAATTTATCTCAATGATGATCCACAATGTGAACTTCATCATCGTCCTATATGTTCAAATGAGCCTGAATTAAATAAATTATACAAACAATTTGGAGCTAAATGGTTATCGGAATGTGTGACTCGAGAGCTAGTACCCACAGGTATAGTTAAAAATTAAATCTGATTGTGATATTGAAAAGTATTGGAATAAAAAATTTCTTATCTTTTTTCTAATTATTAGGCAAACCTATATCGACAGATCAAAGCAATGAACTGAAGAACATAATTCAACAACGTCTTAATATTTTATTTGTTGATAAACAAGTAAGAATCATTGTTATCACTCAAAATATATGCATTTGTATGGTTACTGTTTTTGTAGGGTGTACCGCTAGCCGATTTGAATAAGCAACATTTTCAATTGCTTGAGAAGAATTTATCTGTTTTTGAAATAAAAGACATAAGATGTCGTTTAACATTTCAAAATGTAACAAAAGTTCTTGATGTAAGAAAAACTTAAGATCTTCTTTTGATTAATAAACTTTCTTTCTATTGAATTTTAGTCAATAAATAGTAGTTCATGTACACTTCAACAGAAACAAAACGAAGTGATATTATATCTTCGACAGGATTTGTCAACATCGAACTATGATTATCTCGATATTGCACGTGAACTTGCTCAATTTGTTTTCAAAGCTCCATCCGAATCAGTAATCGATACAATATATAAAAGACTTTCATTATCGTTGGAATCACTCGAAAGACACGGTCTTCCTGTGACAACTTTGTTAAAAAATAGATGTGAGTTTACTTGATCATGAACTAGTAAAGAAACAAAACATCTTTTTATTTGCTTAGCACAAGATCTACTGTCACCACAAGAAGAACCTGTCGTACGATCGAAAAAAATTCCATCTCTATTGGCAGGGTAAGCAAAAGTAATCGAATATACTAAGACAAACTATTGTATTTTCGATATTGACTATTATATTATTGGATAAACTATTCTCAATTGTTTTAGTGCTCTTGGAATATTTGGACGTCTTGGTCGTTCAAATAAGAAAAAAGATCCTATTAATCATGGCATTCAATCTAAAGAGCCTGATCACGATGAATATCCTATTAATCATGAAATTCAATCTAAAGAGCTCGATCCTGCTAAAGATCCTATGAATCATAACATTCAATCTAAAGAGCCCGGTTATACTAAAGATTCTAATAATCATGGCATTCAATTGAAAGAGCTTGATCGTGCTAAAGATTCTGTTGAAAAGGATGATCAACCAGTTGATCCTTCTCGTGTCAAGACCACACATACTTCACACGATCATACCAGAAATGTTGTGCCCGATGTTCAGCAACGAGATAACCATACATCTACCATAGCAAGACATCCGATTGAAGATTTCAAACGTGGAAAGGTCCCCATGAAGAGAATACTACGTGGTCTAGTTCAACAAAGTCAAGCGTATCCAGAATCTACTATTAATCACAAAGGATATATCCGTAACGAGCATCATGAATCATGTGAAGTCATACCCGATATCAACATGAAAATTTATCCAAGTGCTGATATTCCAATACCACTTTTTATTGAAGAAGATGTAATTGTAACATCTAAAATGATCAATCAAGCACAACAGCTCTCCTATGTACTTACTAATCTTGCTCAATATGTTTTTGAACTTTCCATTGAAGCATTGCATCTATTTCGTGACATTAATGGAGGTAAGTTAGTGTATTCATCTAATCTATATTGATTGATATTTCTTTCTTTTTAGATCGTATAGCTTTCAATAAGAATGGTGCACTTTTCTTTAATCTTCGTTATTTCGAGCAAATCTATGCTGATGAACTTCAAACTTATCTTCAACAACCAACAACATCAGATCGTATTGTAAACACAATTCTAAATTTCTATTTCATGGTTACATGTCATGAACTAGTACATAATATCAATCCAAATCATGATTTAAACTTTATTAATAATCTACAAGAATGTGCAACTGAATGTATGATTCAAAAAGAACTCACTTTAGCCAATTTCTCATTCAACGCTCTCAAATCAAATGTTTCAACAAGATTTTGAAGAATAATTTCGTTTTCTTTAAAAGTTTTTTATGTTTAATGTGACCTAATTATATTTAATTCAGATATAAAAGCTAATCAAGAACGATACTTTTTATTTAAATAAGTAGAAATCAAATTAGTATTAATAATTATTTCAAAAGGGTAGAGGGTGTAGATACGAGTATAATTAACACAACACATCCACACTCAAGATCATATTTAGAAGATTTTTCAGCGTATTGAAAAGCAACAGATTAATTTTTTTAAATCAAAAAATATTTTAGAAATTGTATGATAACTATTAGCAATATAAAGACGATCATATACTTTATAGAACACCAGGATGTGTGTTTTTGAGATGAATCATTCAAAAGCTCAACAAAACCAAATGAATTAGCATATTAATCACAGAAAATTTTTCAAATATTCTTTATTATTACTTCTATCAAAAAAAATTCATACGTATGCATCAATCTGAATATATTTGTTGGTTATTCGAAAAATAAAATCACAATCAATAAAATCAATGTCAATTCCATCTCAGAATAATATTATCGGAAATACGTTTTATCGTATATTTATTTAATAGTTTCTCATTTTCGATCAGTCTCTGTAAGTTATAAACCATTTCTTCATTACCACTTTGAACATTGAGATGTAAACAAGTAAGATGTGGAATGTATATACGGGTCTTCATCAAAATATGTCGCACAATAGGTTCAAGATCCATATCTTTTCCACAATCTACTTGAAAATATTGCATGTAATTACAAAGAAAGAGTAGAAAATTTAATTGTTCTATTTCAATGATCTTCTCGAGATGGACTTTTTTAATTTTGTTGTTGATCGATGTTTGAAAAAACAAATCTCTATCTATGCTAAACAACCAGGCTGATTGCATGATTGGCATACATGATACTTTCAATGAATCAAGATTAGGTAACAATTGTATGATTCTAATTAACATTTCAATAGGTACTTTTTCACAGTTAATATTCAAATGAGTAAATTGAATTGCAACAAACAGAGCTTTGAAATCATCAATAAATGTTTGATTTTGTTCTGTAGAAGAGCAACCACTGATTACAAGTTGACTAGTTGGAATGAAAGGAGCCAAAGCATTATCAATATTTTTTCGAATAGGAACATTTTCTGTATTTCCGTCAACATCGAACCATATTTTCCTATAAAAAAAAGTAATGGTAAAACTATTGATAGAACAGATGTTTATGCGTTTACTTATGTGGATGAATTGAAAAGCTAATTTCTTTATTGTTAATTTCTAATTCAAATATCCATCCTTTATTCATCCAAAATGGTGAAATGAATTGATTAAAATTTGTATCGAGAGATGTAGTCTCATAATCATTATATTCGTATCCAGGATATTCATAAATGAATTCCTGCAAATTGGGAATATAATTTTCGATTAATCGTTTCCATCGATCAGCATCAAGATAAGCTTTATCATATTTTTGCTTGACACGTAATACTTGTAATTGAGAAGATACTTTCTTCATAAACATTTCAAATCTATCAAAATCTATTTGACAATTATTGATACGAATATATACTAAATTCGATAGTGTTATTGATTGTTCATTTGTAGAAGCAGGCTCTATTTCTTCCAAGGTTTCACAGATTAAATGATGAAGTTGAGGTGTATGACAGAGTATAGACATAAGCTTATCTGGAGTACAAGTGTGATTAATAACCATATATTCAATTGTACTGAATTGTTCATTGAGAGCAAGTGGTATGGATATATTCGTATCTTCTTCGTCGTACTCCAAGCATAATGATAATTTGTTATATTTTAAAGAAGGTAAAGTGAAAATTATTCGATAGATATCACTGAGATCAAAGTACTCTTCTTCCCTAATACTCATATTCAATGAGAAGAGATGAGGTAAAGATCTCAAATAAAACAGAAGACTCACGACTCGATTGATTGAAACATTGCTGAGAACAACTGATTGAAGACGAGTAAATGATGAATCGATGATACAATGTTTGAAAAAGTTATCAATTAATGATCCACCTTCGAAATTTAATGAAAGTATATGATGCCGATTTGGAACAATAACAGTTTTACAACAATCTATGAGTTGTGATGTTGTATGAGAACGAAATTTTATCTTGAATGGAATTGATGAACAGGTAATAAGATATTGAAAACGATAATTAAGATTAGAAAATATTTCGAAAATATCATTACCATCCAGATAATCAAATATTTCATATAAAAGTTCATTTGAAAGATTTTCAATGCAGGAGACTAATAGACTACATAAGATTTAAAAAAAATATATATGACATAATGATAAAATAGATATTTTACTTACTTATCCGCATTAAACTCTGTTATGTTAAAATAAAAAAATTAAGCAAAAGAATTCATTTGAATTATATATGTAATGTATAACTCACTTCTTGATTTCCTTGTCTCAATAGTAAAAGTTTCACTGAAACTTGATCGTTGTTTGATTTGATACATATTTGCGAAATCAACCCTATAGAGTGACTATGAAAGATTGAGAAATGTATACACTGAAGTATTCTAAAGGCATATTATTCTTTTTTTTCTTTCGTTATTTGTGAAGGAAAAAACAGAACAACGCACAACCATGTGCTTTTTGAATGATACTATGCATTTATTGCATCGGTTATGACGTGTTTTTTTGCTCTTCTTCTTCTTCCTTGGTGTTTTCATATTACAGGTTGGCGATGATTCATTTAGAAGTTGTAGAAAACCAAATAGTGAGTAAATGATTTTAATGCATAAAATAAACATGTTGGTGTGGATGGGTATACTCTACTACATTCAAACACACTCGCTTCTCATCCTCACTTGCCCACATTCTTCATTTTCTGAGCAACGGCAGATACTTCTGCTAGTTAATAATAATAATTATTTGCTCTTTTTACTGATCCCTCACAAGACAATTCTATGAATTAATTTTATATCCTTGTGTAATTTCGATCTATGATTCAGAAACAAAAAAAAAATACTGCGAGGCTTTTGACGTGAATTATGTACAAAGCAAAGGTGTTTTTTCGTTAGTGACGATATTATCTCTTATCTTTGAAGAAAGTTAGAAAAAATGAATTTCTTTTGTTCTTGCTACTCACCTTACTGTGAGATATAAAGTGAGTGACACACAGGACAGAGCTTTATTATAAGTAATAGTAATAACTATAAAAAAAAAGCTAATGACACAAGGGAAAAAGAGTGGAACCTTGAGGATCGGTGTGGATGTGAATATTGCTCTTTGAATGATTCATACCTTTATTCTCTCACTTACACCTACACTCACATCCTCAAACCAATGAAATAATACAAATAAATATCGATGAATCTTATTATTAGCAAGAATCTAATTTCAATAGTATTAGGAATCATTTGAAAGTACAACCAGATTGTATTCTAAGATCTAGTATGTTTAGTTCGTTTTAAAGACTCAGTGTCTGTTCTACAGATCTGATAACGTCTGAATGATACATATCCAATCAGTCATTGGAAGATGTAGGTTCAATTTCTCGCTTGTTTATATAATCCATTTTATCGAATCTTTCGCATTAGATAAAACATATCGATTGTGGATAGTCGAACAAAATAAACTAACAGAACTTTGTGAAAAAATGAAATGACAATAGGCTATCCTATTAATAATACTCTTTTGCTGTCATACTCATTCTCAATAAAATAGCCACAATTACACTTGTATACCCATACTCAAAGGTAGCTGACATCTTTATTTTCTCTCGTTTATTTATTTATTTAAAAAGTCTTTTTGAATATGATAGTTCGTATAAAAAAAGGATAATATGATTCTTTTTTCTTCAGTCTTATACTTTATAAGTCCAAGGATAGCACACCTAGGGTTTTCTTTGGGATTAACATCTTAATAAAACCATCCATACGCTCTGACTCTACTTTGTCACGAACTGTATCGATCTCGAATGGAATAGTTAATGTAGAAGAACCAATTAAAATATCTGATTGACGAATAGTACGATAATTCATTCTGTTGTTTAAATCAGAACGAGTACCTGTAATAGTGATAGACTTCTCGGCTAGCTTTGTCTCTAATTCACCTTTTGCAAATCCTGCAAGTTCAACAATTAAACAATACTCGTTGTCATCTTCATATAAGTTGTAACGAGGTTGCCAATTTCCACTTTCGTTTGTAACAAAATATCCTGCATCATCATAAACAAGCTTCTCCGATAGTTCTAATAAATAGCCTTCTTCCAACAAATTGTGACGAGCTCTTCGATCAGCAAGTACAATATATGGTAGACTATCATGTTGTACAATCCTTAGAGCTGGTTGAGCAGTACCGCTTCTAGAATCATTATTATGTTTAAACAACTGTGGAAGTTTGCCATTAATATAAGTAATCATGTCATTGATAATATTAGGACTGTTTTTGTTCTCTGAATTTTGTAAAAGATTCATAATACCGTCTAGAGACTGCTTATTCCATATATCAGCTGCCTTGGAATGACTTTTTGCTAAAACATAGTGACGCATTTCAATGTCGTTCTGTTGTTTTGATTCAAAAAAATGAATCGATTTGGTGGTACCACCTATGTCCAATTGTATTTGCTTGTCGATTGCTCTGAATGTCAGTTTAATATCTTCTTCTATGACTGTGTTAACATCTTCGATCGTTTTAACATCAAGTAGATTATGAACAATAATAATTTTTTTTCTAATCTGTGTAACTCGACAATATTTCAATACTTGTCGAATATAAATTTGATCGGTAGCTCGTAAACGATTTACAACAATGATGAAAAAAGTAGCTAAATGAAGAACGACTTCACACAAAAGTGTTTCAGTTGCCCTTTTAAATTCAATTTCATCATTTTTAACTGGTTTATCTGTGCCAGCAGTATCAAGAAAAATAATATTTCTGTAATTATCTCTTCCTACTGTAATAGATATACCTTCAGTATGGGTTATGTTTCTACTAGGAATATTGATCCTACAAAGTTTTTTGAGTAAATATGATTTGCCACGATTATATGCACCCAGAACAGTAGCTATCACAGCTTCTTTCTTTTCATCGGGTATTTGTCCTGATTCGTCATTATTCGAAGCTATCACTTTATTTGGTATAATATTATTTGAATGATTACCAACTAAAATTTCCCATCCTTGCGTATTTAAATCAGATATATTATTAATACGAATAACAACATCATATAATGAATTAGTTGATCTATATATTCTGGATGCTGCATCATTCGTATTATAGAGTTTTAGATCGCCAAGAATTGTAAAAAGTGCTGTCTGTTCACTTAAAATATCATTTGATGGATTTTGCTGATTCTTACCTTCGCCTGAACGTTTGTGTATCACCGTATTTAATGTGGAGCGTAATTTATTTATTGGATTGTTGAACATCCTATTTGATAATAAATAATTCGTATTTATAATATGAGTGTGGCTTGGCAGAGTGTGGGTGTTAGTAGGTGGATAACACATAAGTCTCTCATTCACATCCTCACCTACACCTTTTCTTGAATCTGTTATGAAGTAGGAGTGTTTTCTAATAGTTTAAAATTTCTTGAAGGACAAATCCATTTGAACTGACACCTGTATGACATTGTACATATCGTACAATAAGCTAAAACTTAAACAAAACGGCTATACCTCATGAGAAACGCCTTATGGGCGCTTATTCATTAGAGATTTTTCACACTTTAGCAGGGCTTATTTATAACGGATAGAATTCGAACTTAAAAGCGGTTGATCACATCGCATGATTGTCTCTCATCAGTATTCCGATTATATTCGAAACAGAGTATTTAAAACAATCTGTTTTGCTTACCTATAAATGCAAGTGCTAAATTTACTACTTTATTTTTCGAATGAATCATTTGCTATTAAGACAGCATGATTATATATTTCTGATTTTTTTCTTCCAACTATGTTATTGAAGTAACCTACACAGTCACGGGGAAAAATCCAAAGTAAACAAAAAAGCATTTACAGATGATGAAAAGAAATCATAACAAACACATGTAGAACGTAAAACAACAGTTTTGCATTAGCACAAAGATAAACATATTGGAATTAAAGCTATATAAGATGGAAAAAACCCGAGCTAGGAATGTACAACTATGGGTGAGATTTTTTGTTTATTTTGTCAGATTAAATAAAGTGAAGTAAAAAAACATTAAATCTTATCTTTCAAGTTTTTGTTGATAATTTCTCAGTTTAATGTATTATACATACTTTTAGGTTATGCAATGAGTAAGACTAGAATACAAGACATTTGATTATAAGTGTGCTTATTTGGACCAATGAACCACAGTGGGTTATCTATCTATCAGATAGATTTCTGTTTTAGGGTGGGGGTGTGGGTGGACAAGAAAACTCACCCTGATGCAGACCCTCATATTTTATGAACGCCTGACTAGTGAGTATAATCATAATACTGCACCTGTCCTCAGATCACTCTTTCTCACCACGGGCAAGTCTAAGCGACAATTTTTACATAGTTTATTTATTTTCAGTAAGTAAAGAGAAAAGGAAATATTTAAAATTTAAGACGACTGTCAAGTTTTTTCAATTGATCCAATATTGATGATAAGATAGCATTATTCCAAAGCTGAATCTCCTTGATTGTCTACGTAGTAAAATGCAAATGTGAGAAGTGCACAAGACAAAGAAGAATATTTACTGTGTTCGTTCGTAGAGCTTCAGCAAGACGTTTTGCTCCTTCATGTCCAATTTGATTATCCTTGAGATTTAGTATACTAAGTGTCTGCATGAAAAAAATAGACATTGAGGAAATATAAAGAGGCAAAAAAGTTCAAGAGATTTACTGTATTATGTCGTAAAGCATCAGCAAGACGTTTTATTCCACCGTCTTCGATTTGATTCTCATTGAGACTTAGCGTAGTCAGTGTCTGTGTGAGAAAGGAGAGGGTGAAGAAAGAAGAAGAAAAGAAAGGTTACTGTATTGTGTCGTAAAACATCAGCAAGACGTTTTGCTCCTTGGTCGCCAATAAGATTTTTATCGAGATTGATAGTGATGAGTGTCTTTATGTAAAAAAGTCTAGATGTGAGATATGGTGACGATTGTAAGAAAGAGAATTACCTTATTGTGTCGTAGGCCATCAGTAAGATGCTGCACTCCACTATCACCTATTTGATTGTGACAAAGACTGAGTGTAGTGAGTGTCTACATCAGAAGATATAAATTAAGATACAGATCTATAAAGATATGTTACTTTATTTTGTTGTAATGAATTAGCCAGATATTTTACTCCTTGTTGTCCGATAGAATTCTTATCGATATTCAGTGAGGTGAGCGTCTGTGAAAAAGTATAGAAGAGAGAAGTAAGAAAAGGAAGCAAAAGCAACAAATCACTGTGTTCTGTCTTAAGCCATCAGCCAGATGTTGTGCTCCTTTATCGCCGATTTGATTATCATTGAGATTGAGGAAACTGAGTGTCTATGGAAGAAGGTTAGAGAAAATGTATAAAAAGCACGACGACAGAAAGAGTTACCTTATTGTTCAGTAAGACATCAGCAAAATATTGTGCTCCCTTGTCTCCGATATGATTGTGGTGAAGACTGAGCGTGGTAAGTGTCTGTATTCAAAGATAGAACATGAAGAAATCGATAGAAAAGTGAACTTACTGTATTTTGTTGTAGAATATCAACTAAATATTGTGCCCCACTATCGCCGATTTGATTGTAGTAGAGACCGAATGTCGTGAGTGTCTATGTTTAAAAGATCAGATAAGATATACGATGAAGACTGCCAGAAGAATAGTCACCGTATTGTTACGAAGAGCATCAGCGAAATATTGAACTCCTCTGTCTCCAATTTGATAATGGTAAAGATTGATTGTGTTGAGTGTCTGTAAAAATATGATGTTAGATGATGGTATAGTGCATCGTTAGAACTTATGACGAAGAGTAGTACAAGAGAATCACGGGCAAAATACACTTCAGTGGCTCAACTGAACTCAGGTGCTCATTTACATATTCGATTACATCATTCAGAAAATCCTTTGATGAGAAAGAAATGCGTTTTATGCAGCTAGATTACATATCAAAGTTGTTTGAGATGACAAAATAAAACTCTCGTTCTATGCATTAGATATATATATATGTGAACATACCACATCATCAGTATTATCAATTATTTCATCAATTGATCGTTGTGTCAGACGGCATTGGTTGTCTATCCATGATACCTCACATCTCACTAATCTTTCGATCCCACAATCTCTAATTGGTGTTGTATGGAGCCAGATGGTAGATCCTTTCGGAACATAAGCACATGTTACAAACCATCGTTTATCATTAAGCCAGAAAGGTGTACGAAAAGGATCCATTAAAGATTCAAGACTGATGAATCGATCGTTTTCTTGATAGTTATACGAGAGAAAAAATTCAAATCGAACTAGTGTCGGTGCTTTTGCTCGAATTAATTCTTCTAAACGAGAACCATGAAAAAATGAATCAAGTATTCCTCGATGAGAAATCAGTTTGAGATGAAGAAGTGTAGGTATTGGTGAAAGTAGTAATGTAAGATTTTTTAGACTAAATGAGCAATTACTAATGGTTAGTGATATTAATGAAGAAAGAGTTTTGAATTTAGATAATAATAATAGTGTACTATGTGTATCATCGATAGTACAATTTCGCATGACGAGTGTTTGTAAATAGGGTAATTTTTGAAGAATATCAAGGTATTCGCCATAGATACAACTATCGATGACTAAATGTTGTAATTTGTATTGATCGGGCCATAATATATGTCCCATCATGTAATTGATATTATGCATAGATAGTTTTCGTAAGCTACATCGTTTGAGTAACGATGGGACGAGAGCCCATGCTCTGCAATTTTCACTGTGACTCGATTCAATAAAAAGTGAAGTCAAATAATCAGTGCTCACATGTTCTAAGACATGTTCGAGATCATCATCTTGAATTTGATGAAGACTCAACGAATGCAGTCGAGTAAATTGACTAATATTAAAAATTGAAATAAATGCTTTGATTCGATCCGTTTTTAAATAATCATTAGAGAGAATCAATATCGTCACATTTTCGGGTTGAACAAAAAACGGTATCGATTTTACATTATATGGTGATTCCGAATCGAAAATCAGTTTGAATCGATTGTAGGTATTGGCCAACATATACAATCGTTTACAAACACAGCGAATCGAAAGAAAGTTCTGAACATCACAATTGTCAAATATGCGATGAATTAATTCCACAGGTAGGGTAAGAAGAGAAGTATCGGCCATGAAAGTACCAAACAGTGAATAGAAATAATGACTTAAGAGAATATTAGAATAGAAAAGGTCAATCGTAAGTATCACTTTGTTTTTACTGTCGAAAACAAAAGAACGTATTATCAACTGCAAATCTAAGCCACAAAAATGTTCTTGTTATAAAATAAGAAAAATAAATCGATTCTTCTTTACCTATGATCGATCGTCGACGGCTATTACTACGTTTAGTGTATGAATATTTCTGATTCACGTGTTTTTTGTCATAATAAGTTATTCATTCATTCCTTTTTTACTCTAGGCAAATGTACACCATTCAATGTAAATAATGACATGAAATGATTCATTCGCTTGTTCCTACGCAACCAACACTCAGTAGATCGAGAAAAAATACAGTGAATTCAGTTTACTCTGAATATCAGTCATTTTATGGGCAATGATCTTGAATTCCGATAAGACATAAAAATCTTCTTCTATAGATGTCCTTAGGCTTCGGTCTTTGTTATAGAATTTGGCTTCTTTCAAAAGTCAAGATTTCCCAGTAAAATTTTGAAACTATTCACATATTTTGACGTAGAAAATATAAATAAATGCGTGCTATATATTTTATATTTCTTAGTTGTTTCTATATTATTAATCTGCAAGGCATGCATCTATTTATGGTTTTTTTTGCAACGTAGTAGACTACTTATGGTAATGAGACAGTCACAAAAGAAATATCAAAGAAAACAGATAATGAAATGGATGTATTGATGTTACTTGTGAATAATGGACAGCCGCCGGAAATGAGATATGAAGATGACAAGAGAAAAGCTATTTTGAACAACTTATTATCTTTTTCTACCAGACAAGTTACAGAGGAATTGTGAATACAATTCATTTACAAAGAGAAAACAGAAAGTGAAAGATGTCTGTTCTTGAAGCAGCTACTCAATTATCTTTTTGGGGACCAGTTGTGTTCTTTTGTATTGGAGTTCCAGCAGCATTATTCAATGTGATTATTTTTCTCGGATTCAAAACATTTCGAAAATCTCCCAGTGTTTATTATGTTGTCGGTCAATCATTATTCGATGTAAGTGTTTTACTACTTGTTCTTCTTCCAGTCATACCATCAGTATCTTTATCTGTCTCTTCAACATCTTGTAAATTGGGGCTCTTCTTTGGTCAAGTAACAGTATCTGGTGCAATGAGTTTTCTTTGCTTGACTGCATTTGATCGTTGGGCATGTACATCTAGATCAGCTAGAATACGTCGATTAAATTCAAATCGTATTGCACGTTATCTTGTTTTATTCACATTTCTTTTTTGGTCATAGGTGAATATTCCTTATCTTATTTTTTGTGATTTAATTCCACCAACATACGTTTGTTTTTCAACGAATGATGTTTTTACAAAAATTGTCTTTTATTTTCTTGCTCCTATTTTCTCTACTGTTTTTCCTTTGCTCATCTTAATTATATTTATTATTCTTACACATCGAAATATTCGTCTTACTGCTCATATACATGATCAACAACAACCTGATAGAACTCGTTCATCAATGTGGGAACAACAAATGACAAGAATGATGGTTGCTCAGACTATTTTAAGTATCTTCTGTACACTTCCTCGAGCTATCTTGAATATTTATTCTGCAATTACACTTGAACAGAGTGCAACAAAAAGTTTTAATCAAATTTCGATTGAACTTCTGATCGATCAATTGACAGTATCTATTATGTCCATAAATTATGTTTCATCATTTTATATTTATTTCCTCTGTTCACCACGTCTCCGACAGACAATCAAAATACATCTAAAAAGTCTATGCCATTTGACACCTAATGAAGTTGTTCCCATCAACAATTCTCTTACTATTGCACAAAATCGTATGAGACAACATTAATCTATCTGCTGATCTACCGTTTATTTTTTTTACTTCTTATGTTGTACTTTGTAAAGTCTTGTATAGTCTGATGCTTCTTAATAAAAAAGATACTTAAGCAAAATCGATTCATCTTTTTTTATTTCAATTATTTTTTATTGAGGGTGTGGGAGGGTGCGGGTATGGATACTATATTCACCTAGCACCCACCCGGGTTTAGCGAATAGAAGCGATTAGTTCAAATGCGATATATAAGATGAAAAGTTACTGTCATGTATTAGCGATTCAAGAGCTGAATTTCAGAAATTCCAACGCATGTATCATAGCCATGTTTTCGAATGATGAGAATACGGTAACTTGTAAATGCTAAATTGTTATTAGCAATTACTTGTGTTTGCCCAAAAGCATTTCGGCCAGGATCAATTGATAGACCTGAAGTACCACTGTAAATTAATGTCCAACTTGATCCCAGTGTAAGAGTTGAGCCAGCTAGATTACTGCCTTCAATAGTGATTAGAAGTGGATCTCGATTCCGATTCAAGTGTCCCGCTGCAATGCGGAATCCACTCAGAATGAATGCGCCATCTTGTGCAGTTGCGTACAAACCTGTATTCTGACCACAATCATCAGCATCATATATGTAATTACATCGACCATAAGAACAAATTCCACTAGTTAGATTACCATCAAATACGTTTTGCGGTGACTCGGTATACCAATAGTGACCCATTGAAGTTCCAGCTGATGCTCGTAAACTATTAAGACCTGCGCTTACATTCCACACAGCATATATAGTGTTGAACGGATTGATCTTAGATGGTGTTACTAAAACAAAACAAATATATATGATTAAAATATAGCTTCGCTTTTGTCAGGGTATGGGTGTGAATACTGTCTTGATTCTTTTCAGTCTGATAGGGTGACGATATAACTGTATCAAAATATTTTTCCAATCTAGTACAAATCATCTACCATATTACTGACCTTGTGTTGTTGTTGTTGTTAGTCTTTTTGTTTTAAATGATAACGATTTTGTTGTTCTCGATGACGTGGCTGCTTCTATATAAGGAAAGGAGGATTAAAATGAGTTTATTTTCAATTCTATTTATATTTTCAATATCTCAAACAAATAACCTTACAAATAGTTAAATGAATTCGTGTTGTGTTTATTTGTATAGGAAAGAGTGATTCATTATGAATCTCAGAAAAGCTTTTGTTATTGTTTAATTAGAAATAATTTCTCTTATATTACCTTCAAAATGAATGATTGTCTCATTTTGAGTACCTGTTGTTGATGTTTTTTCACTGTTTGCCTTTGTTTTTAAGAGAACAACAATTGGAGCCGTTGTAATTGAAATAATAAAAATAATAACAATAAATATGTTCCATACTAATTTTCTTTTTCGAGAATGTTCGCATCTAGAATAATAATTGATCTGTTTTATCATTGTCTACAATTTACAATATACATACAATGTTGGTGGTTGTGTTGTATTCGACGTAACCGTTTGAGACTAAAATAATCAACAAAGACAAACATTTGTTTTTATAATTTTTCTTTTTCTCAATGAATTACATCATCAACTTCTGTTGTATTGTTGCTGTTGTCCATTGTTGAAAGTTCAATACTTTTACAATCTAAAATCAGCAAAAAACTTTTTCTCACTCAGCAGTTTTTCATTAAAAATAATAGAACAAAATATTTATCATGCTCTCTCTCTCTTTTTCCTTCTTAAATAATCAGTTCTTTTTTGACGTATATCATCGTGTTAATATAAAACATCATATACCAATAAAAATAATGAGCTCACTTCCTTTTTCAATATTAATTTTTAAAACAAAAAAACAACCCTTACCAGATAGAGTTTTTATCTCTTATAAATATGAAATTGTCTGAGACAATATCTATAGGTAGAAATGGATTTTAATTTGATTTTATCGTATGGAATAATCATTGATTTACTTGGAAATCGAAATAGAACATTCAAGAAAACAAAAACGATTCGTATTTGATCTTCACTTAGCTGTAATCTACTAGATGTGATTAGTCAATAGAGAGAACTATAACTATGATTCTAATTACAATCATAGTCATATGAAACAAATAGATTCTTTGAATAGCTACATTTAGATGTGACTGTTGATGATTTCCGATATTGTATTTATCTCTCAATATTCTTCACACTATGAAAAGTTATTTATGTTCTTTTAATCATTTTTCTCACTAGAGAAAAACAAAATATAACATATTTCTTAATTTGTGATTGAAATGAATGTAGAGAAATTGAACATAAAGAAAACAGCAGTTATATCAACCGTCAAGTCTTATAGAATACCATGAAATCCACTCTTTTGTCTTGGACTATGTAAATATGAGAATGACAGTTTGATAGATGGATGTTTTACTCTTATCCTAATGTCAATTCATTGTCATTCTCATTCCTTCTCATACATCATCTCAATCTATTACTAAAGTATTTTATCGATAATAATTTAATAACTAACAACGTAGTTACAGTTTAACTCTATAGACTTTGAAATGAATTCTTTTTTCTCAGGAAACTTTGCATTTCCTTCAGACAGTGTTGATTTTCAATGTTTTTCTTTTTATATAAATAGAGTAACTGTTATTTGAACTAATTTACCGTAGAGTTTGATATTTACAACAGATATAATATTTTTATTTAAAATTGATCTGGAAAAAGAAAGTGATGGTATTATTTTCATCAACATATGATGTTTTTTTATAAATATTTTATAAACAGTGAGCATCAGAATGATTCGCTTATTATTATCTTTATTTTAAATGAAACAAAGACATAAAAATAAAGTGAAATATATCATTTGAGAATCACTATTGTCGATATTTAGTAATTTAAAGAATATTGAACATAGGTCATGATTTTACTAAATATAATTCGAAAACTGAGAAGAATTTCATTTGATGAAAAATGCTGCAAATAATTTCTTCATTTTTCTGTTCATATTTATAAACTAAAACATATTCTCCTGCATTTTTTTATTAATTATTATTGGTATTTGTCTTCTGTTGAATGGAATAAAAACAAGTTTTTTTCCTGTATTCGCCTACATAATGACGTCAATGAAAATTTGCTTTTTCTTGAAATATTTGCAATAAATAAAAACAATGAATCCATTACCTTTTTCAAAACTAATATGAAATGTCAGGGATTATTTGTTGTAAATATAGAAAAATGTTCATGATATTGAAATTTTGTAGGAAGGATGTAAAAACAAAGTTCAATGTTATTCTTGTTAAAAATACATCGAAGACCATGCTCTTATGAAGGAAATGCAACGCTTCCCAAGAATAAAATATATCGACATTAACTAACATCTGGAATGTATTGCACAGTTGATTCTATACTTATTTCATACTTTAGATTTAGACATATGATAAGAAAAGTGAGGTTGTTGATCTTCAGAATAAATCTCCATTAAATGCTATTCAACAAGGGTAGGTGTGGGTAGTTTATTCGTTCCACAAAGTCACATTACATCACATCCACCCTCAATTTTGATAAATCTAAATCATCATTAGAAGATATTGATCAACGTAATGAAACAATTTGATTGGCAAAATGTGAAAAAGATTTTATATGAAATATATCTTTTGAAGGTGTATCAATATAAAAATGAACAGAATGTATAGTTTCATTTATTCGACGATTATTAAGAAAATAAAATGCCAAATAAACATCAGTTAAAATTATATAATTTTCAAATAAATCTAATAAAATTTCATTTGGTAATTGTTTGAAATATCCAACTAGTTTACTTGTATTATTCATCTAACTAATTTGATATATAGACAGAAGAATAAAAAAACCCAGTGTATTGCGAAAAATCTTCGTTTGTTTTTTGTTTTATCAAGGATGTTTGTCATATGTTCTATTTTCTTTTTTGTTTTTATTCAACAATGTCTAAGATGCAATAGAATTTATACAAGATTTTGACTCAAATGAAAAAAGAATATACTTTAAACCAATTATTATTACATAATAATTTTATGGCTAAATGAAAGTCAAAATATTATTAAAAAAAAGGTATAATGAATCTATTCATTTCATGAGTTTAAATCTCTGCTAATTATCCAGATTCGCGTGGTTTCTTCCCTAGTATTTGGCACTTTCACATCCATAAATACATATCTTTTAAAGAATTTATCTCAATACACCATGAATGATAGATATGGTAACATTAAGAGATATGCTTTTATTAACATAAATAGGAACCATAACATGTTATAAATGAAAGATCCAGAATATAATCTTAAAATCAAATTTTAACAAAGTAAAAGTAGATCTATATACAACTATGCACCAGTATTTCAACAGAAGTTTCCCGATACGTCTTTTCTATCCATTTGTTCTCTTTCGTTCAAATACATAATTGTATTTGAAAAAAAGATAAGTTAAATAATGGTATTATGTTTCACGCATCTACATTCATATTAGGCCATACGTTGATATATTTTTAGATTTACTGTTGTTGTTGTTTACAGATATATTCATCTATAGCATTCATGAACTTACTTCAAAGCCTTTTTGTAACTGAAATGTTTCAATGATCGTCTGTATTCTAAATTCAATGAATACTATGAGTAACTACACTGCAAAAACGAAGAGAACATTTGAAAGGATAATAAAAACTATCGTATTAGTTGTAGTTTTTGTCAATCATAATAAACTAATCTATAAGAGCAGAAAAACAAGGATATTTATTTTTATTTGTTGCCGAATATTAAAGTGAATGATAATCCAGTAAAAGTATAAATGGAAACAGTTCGCGGACGTCATATAATGAGAATTCTTCTAACTAAGGTATTGTTTGGAATTCGCATAAATTGCAAGGAACAAAATAAGACAAGTGAAAGTTAATTTGTCTGAGATAATTAATATAATTCTGCACTGTTCTCTAAAATACCACTGGATCCACCAGCAACTAACACTAATCCATTGGTTAATGTGGATGCTGTATGTCTCCATCGTGGAACAGTCATATTACTAATAGTTGTCCAATTTCCTGTTGATGAATCGTACAGTTCAGTAATACTTAGACCACCACCGGTGATTAATACTTTTCCATTTGTTAAAATAGATGCTGTATGATAAGGTCGTGCATTACTTAAGCTATTGATTATTGTCGAAGTCCCTGTTGATAGATCATATAGTTCAACACTATTTAAATGATCGGTGGCATTTTGTCCACCTGTAATCAACAATTGTCCGTTTGCTAATACAGATGTTGTATGAGCATATCGTGCATTGTTTATATTATTAGTTGACGTCCAAATTCTTGTTGTTGAATCATATAATTCAACACCACTGATAGAACCATCATGCCATCCACCAATTATTAATACACTTCCATTTGTTAATACAGTCGCTGTGTGTGAATTTCGTGCATTATTCATATTACTAATAATTGTCCAAGCTTCTGTCGTTGGATCGTATAACTCAGCACTACTTATTTGCGTAGTACCATTCCATCCACCAGCAACTAGCACTTGTCCATTTAATAACACTGATGCTGTATGTAACACGCGTGCATTATTCATGTCACTAGTCGCTGTCCAGATTCCTGTTGATGGATCATATAATTCAGCATGCTTTAAGATACTACCATTAGTTCCACCAGTAACCAACACTTTTCCATTTAATAATACTGATGCTGTGACTTCGCTGCGTGCATGAATCATGCTACCGGTTCTTGTCCAAGTACCTGTTGATAGATCATACAGCTCAGCACTATCCAGGATATTACTACTACCATATCCACCAACAGCTAATATTTTTCCATTTCCTAATGCGATTGCTGCATGCTGCATTCGACCATCGTTCATACTGCCAGTTCGGAACCATCCTAGAAGAAATATTTCCAAATATTCAAGTTAAGAAGTGGCATAAAGTGTGTCTCATAAATGACAACTTCAGTCTTTTCTCGTACTTTTTCTCTATTTAAAAGTGTACCGATATTTAGTAGATCTATTTATAGAGCAATAGCTAAACTAGTATTCACACTTGAGTAAATCCGATATCAAAATCGATTGAATCTCACAGATTCTGACTAGCCGATAGAACTGATGAGAGTTTAAAGGATACAATTTGTCGAGGATCTGCTCGTATTAATATTTATTGAACTTCTGACGGTCGATTTCGATTCTACTAATTCCTCAGCGATTGCGTTAGCTAGATTTCGAACAAACCTTACAGGATATTATCGAATTTTGATGATAGTCTCCCAATAATGTTCCTTAAGCTACACCGAACATAACCATAAATTAATATTAGTAGAACAACACCAGCAACAAAAAAGAGGGCTGCGTGAGTACGAGTACAAAATGTACTCAGATCTATACGATTTTTGGGAATTGGTCGATAAGAATATATGTACTGAGGTGACATAATGTACTGGCTTATGAACCTTAGATTTTGTGAAGTGCATAGTCATGTACTCCTATACATGTATTGATCTTATGGTATGTACTTGGTGAAAAGCCTTGGAATTAGTGGAGTACATGAAGTACATAGTTATATATTCCACCAATTCTCAAGGTGTGGGCACTGATCAACTCCCTACATCGAACCCGCACCTTCACCCACACCCTCATAATCGAAATGTACAGAACGCTTGCTCCCCTCGAAATACACGCTGTGGTACATTTGCTCGAAAAGGTAGAGTGTACGAAATACACGTTATTTACCAAAATAACACTTTACTTCTAATTCTGAGAGTTTTCAAGAATATCGTGAATCTCAAAAGTTATGTCTGAACAATGAAATATTGTGACCTCTTTTAATACTAATTACCATTCGTATGTTAGATGGATAATTGCACTTGTATTAATTGTGTATTTGTTTACCTAACATTGTTTAGATGTTTTACGAAAGAAGAGCATGAACATTCTTCTATTTTTTACTTCTTTATTGTGTATTAAACGTCAAGTATGTACACTTCGATACATATGAGATATGAAAACAAGATGTATACATACACTTACCTAAGAAAAACATGATGTCCATATACATTTTGTTTTAGATTTCCATTAGAAATCCTGTTTCTTAGGTCCCAAGAAGGGTCGACAGGAGGTGGGAGGGGGGCGCGAGTGAAACTTCACCTGGGTAGTTCTGTGATAGCTAACGTCACCAAACTATCAATCACACTTCTGTATATAGAAGGAAAAGTGGAGAGGGGGTCGGATGCGAAAGGTGCTTGAAATTTAAATATTTTGCAGCGGGGATTCTGTGAGAAGGATTTTGGAGCGAGAACTGTGTGAGAGAAGGATTTTGCAGCGGGTATTTCTGCTAGTATTATATATGTTACAGGGCTAATTAAAATCCAGGAGAATTTAAAATTCC